GGTCGATCGAAAGATGGATGAGAGGTTCACTCACTCGTGAGTGAACTCTCCCTTCAATCCCACCTATCCATTTTCAATATAATCCAAGGAGTCAGAAAAATATTCACCTATACCTAGTTGAGGAGATACATAATTGTTTCCTTTTTAATCGTTCGAACAACAATACTCTATTAGTATTTACTTTACTTTGTCTTGACTGTGATAAAAAACTGTTATTATTTCAAGCGGATTTTTAATCTTAATTATTGTAAATTATAATAATCTTCAGGCTTGGATAAATTTATAACCTTGCAAAATCAGTTTAATGAATTAATAGAAAATAAAAATACTGATAAATCAACAGATGCTGAAAAGATATGGAAGGATTGGTTAGATGGGGGAGAATTTGAAGAAAAGTATGATACTTATTTGGCCATCATTTGTCACCATACAAAACCAAGCATTTACGGGCCTCAGTTTTGTGAATTTGCTGAAACACGCATTCGACTTGGACTGTTATCAATTGTTGAATATCACAGCCCGAACATTGAATATTGCCATGCAACACCAATAAAATATCTGAACGCTCAACCTTGCCCTTTAAAATTCGTCGAGGATAAATTTTCACATTGTACATGTAATGTTTGGCTAGTTGGAATTAAGGGAAGTATTGGGCAAGATAAGATTGATGAGATCACAAACAAATTTAGTTCAGATATTTATAAGGACTTTCACAAGTCAAAAAGTGGAAAGAAAGTGAAACCGACACACAGAAGAAAATATAGACTTAGAACCAAGTTCTTTGTAAAAGATGACCTAAAAGACAATTGAGGGGAAGTAAGACGGAAGTTCCGAAGACGGAACTTAAGGAGATGTATATAGCTGAGATTTATACGATGCTTTATTACTAACCTCAAATCTAGGATTATTATGGTTTAGAGAACGTTTTAAGACAAAAGACGGAGAATTAAATGTAGACATGTCAGTCTTGAACGTTCTCTATTTTAAAATTTTTACTAGGGATTTAAATTTTTACCGGGTTTTAAAACCGGTCCTGACAACCCAAATTTTTACATAAATTTCTATTTTAAATTCATTAGAATTTTATTTTTTTTGATATCAGGATAAATTTTATATTTGGGAATAATATTGTATAACAAAGCTATTTCGGGTTATTTAATCTCGAATTTATGATTATAATTTTAGAGAACGTTTTAATTCCCACAAATTATAATCGGTTTCATCAAAAATTTTAAAAAAGTTTTGATTTGAAAAATCGTTTTTTCCCAATAAATATACCAAGTGCAGACTGAAGAGCCCAGACTGAAGCACAGTCGACTGAGACATCCATTCAACAACGAGTTATATTCTTTCTGCAAGTACGAGATTTACACTAGGTATCAGTGCTTGATATGGCTCCAGGATCTGGAGATAAGATTTTTAAACCCCGGGGCCGGTGCTTTCAATATACCTGAAGGGTGAAATATCCATAAGTGAGCAAAAATGTAAGGCGTGGAAAGAAGGAAGATAATCGTACGATACTCCCAGTCGGGCTCTAGTAAGGATACAACAATTTTGGAGCTTAGATTAACCTTCAATTAAGTATGAATTTTAAAAATCCAAATTAAAAAACGGCCACAATTTTATCACGCCATCTAATAAAACGAACATCCACCTTGTCTAAAATTGTGTTTAGGATTTTTTATTCAAAGCTCGTTTCAGAAATAATATGTTCGTTAATCTACAACATTAAACAGCAAAATAATTTTTACAAAAATAAATTTATGCAAAGTTTTTACGTTGAATTTTGTTGAATTATGATGTATTTCGACGATCTAGGTTGTCAAAATATGGGTGGTTGACGTTTATTCCAAATTAATTTTATGTAAAATCTATTTGCAACCAAAATTTGTGTAACTATTGAAAAACACGTTCAACTATAAATGATTATCAATTCTTATCACTAGTATTATCAATAGAAATTATATCAATAGTTAGTATTATTAAAGTATTTGGCAAATTATAGTTAAATTTAACTATAAATGGCTTCATCGAATAAATCTCCTCTTTCAATGATTAGTAAATCTTCCAAATCCAAAATAATTCCAACAGATATAAATACATCAACAACTAAAGCTAATGAATCTAAAAAATCCAAAAGGGAACCCTTTTTTGGCAAATTTAGATTTTGTATTGCCATTCTTCTGGGATTTACTACATTTTCTTATACTTCATTAAGAATGAATTTAAGTATGGGAATGGTTGGTTAATTTATAAAAATTATTCTGAAATCTCTCTATAGGATTTCGCTCATATACAGCGAAGCTCCTAGCTGATAGAAGCTCCTAGCCTAGCTGATAGAAGCTCCCAGCCTAGCTGTCTAGGAGCTCCCAGCCTAGCCTAGCCGATAGACACTTATACTTTCAGCAAAGAGATTTGAAGAATATTTCTCATAAGGATCCATCTCTTTATGATGAACTATTATTCTCTTATAATGAACTATTCTCTTTTTAATGAACTATTCAAGTATAGAGATCGGAACTGTGTCTTGATCCGGATCATTTTCGGGGGAATTTTTCTGCTTTTATGTAGGACTTGGAAAACCCAAATATGAGTACATTTACTGATCCGAGGTTTTTCTAAAATTCTTTTATAATGAAAAACTCATCCCTGGCAAAGAAAATTGAAACGTAAACTGCAGCAGAAAAGAGGATTAACTCCTCTAAGCTCAGAATTTATCTCAAGACTAATAATCTACAGGTTTGTATGGTTAACTCAACGGCTATACATTTACGTGAAAGTACTAACGACAAAAGTTTGAATGAAGAAAATTCGTCATTTAATGATTATGCACACAAAATACATTTGAAAAATCTGGCATATGTGGAAGAATGTGGTGATCGAGAGATAAAGACAAATATACATAGAAGCTTGGGATATCAGGTTGAAACCTGAGGTCCCACCTTGATAAAAAATAATTAAAGGGTTCAATAGAATGGACAGCCTCTGAACAAGCTAGGCTTTTCGCTGCACTATTTTATGGTGGTTTTATAACAATATGGTTCTCGGGCTATTTGGCCGATAGATTTGGCCCAAAGCTTTTGATTGGAATGGCAGTTTTAGATATGTCTGTATGTTCACTCGTTTCTCCAGTGCTAGTTGATCTGAATTATTATGCATTTTTTGTTGCCAGATTTTTGATGGGCCTTGGAGACGTAAGCTTATATTTAACAAAGGCCATGACAAAAGCTTAATCAGACCGCAATATTACTATCCAAACAACCTTTAACATTTCGACCCCTAAATGTTTTTCTTCCAAATACTTGAGTCTCTAGGACAGACAGATCCGCCATCTGCTAAAATCTTAAAATACCCTGACACTATTAGACTCGGATCCGACAACCTTATTGTCGTTATAGATTAAAAGTTATGCTATATCAGATAAAATCAGTTACCGTATACTAAAAATATAATAAAAAATCAGTTACCGTATAAAATCAGTTACCATATATTAATTCCCCTGGGGAATTATTTTTTCAACCCATCCGTGGATGGGGAATTATTCAAGGGAGGGGAATTATTCGAGTTTTGAAATTTGAACGTATAGTAAGTAGGATATTTGGGGGAGGTGGATTATTGTTCCAACCAGGGGTGAGCGCATTGCGTTTTGCGTTTTGCGTTATTTGCGTTAAATTTTGGCCTTGCGTTGCGTTTTGCGTCTTGCGTTATTTTCGATGAAATTAACGCAAAAAATATACCCAATCTGAGGACAAAATTGGAGAAATCCGGCTTATTGACCTTCCAAAATTCTAAAAATTTTCGCCTACGGCGCTAAAAAAGGAAGAAATTTTGCTTTCTGGCCTTCCAAAATTCTCAAAATTTTCGCTTGCGGCGCAGAAAATGGAGGAGGGATAAAGTGGCTAAGTGGAAAATATCGGGGGAAATGAGGTGATAGAAGACTATCGGTCGATTTACTGCGATTAAGGTTGATTTAAAAAGATATCGGGGGTTTGTAGGGATATCCTGCTATATCTCTTCAATCCCTGATAACTACTATATGCTCAAATCCCTGTTATTCTTCTAATCTGAAGGCAAAAATTGGGAGAAATCTAGCTTCTGCTTTCCAAAATTCTCAAAATTTTTGCCTGCGGCGCTGAAAGCAAGGTATTTAAATACCAATTTTCCATCTTGGAACGGCTCAAAAAATATCGGTCAGTATCTGGAGCTCAGATCTCAAGTTATCCTCCAAATCACCTGATATCCCCGGAATCAAATTATAAATACTGATAGCTCTTTATCCTCTGTTATCTCTCTAACTCACCCGACAGCCTTCAGTAATCCCATGGTATCTTTTTAAATCTCCTTGATCGCTCCAAATTACATGATAATCTCCGTAATCCCCCGCTACTTCGTTAAACCCCTTGATCCTTCTAAATCCTCTGACTTCCTTCATAATCCCTTCAAATCCTTTATCCCTCTCCAAAACATTACCCATCCAAATTACATGTATCACAAACTTAATTAGGACTCGCTGACTTATAGTAATACACCAATTTTAACTGAAAAATGGCTAATACTTAATTTAAAAAATTTTTTTCCCAATTTTGCGTTCTTGCGTTTTGCGTTTTGCGTCTTGCGTTATTTGCGTTAAATTTTGGCCTTGCGTTGCGTTTTGCGTCTTGCGTTTTTTGAGATTGTCTCTTGCGCTCACCCCTGGTTCCAACTCATCCGTAGCAGTGGGAATTATTCGAGAGAGGGCTTTTATTTGAGTGAGGGGAATTAATCGAGTAAATACGGTAGGTCCCTTCAGGGTTTCATCTTCCCAACAGTATCATCAGCCAATGCATGTTGGGCACCCCCAGCCGAACGTAGCTTGATGTTCGCAATATCCACATTGGGTAATCAAATAGCTGCAGTTTTTGCTTTGTTGTTTGGATCACAACTTTGTGCCATAAAATTCTTGGACGGATGGAGATTAATTTTTCTTAGTTTTGGTAAATTTATAAAAAAAATTTTCGGCTATGTTAAATCAAAAAGGTGCCATTGGAATGACAAGCTTTACATTATGGACTATTTTCGCTGCAAATAGCCCTGATGAAAGTAGATGGATTGGTACAAAAGAAAAAGAAATGATAACTGCTAGCCTAAAAACTGGGGAATCTGAAAAATCCATTAGCTCTAGAAGAGTAAGATATGTAAAAAAATTTCTCTAAAAATTTAGTTAAATACGGGAAAAGTCCCTTGGAGTAAAATGGCTAGGAGTATACCCTTATGTGCTGGAATTATTGGGCAATTAAACTATTCATTTTGTACAACGTTGTTGCAATCTTATTTACCTACCTATTTGAAGGACTATTTGAAATTGAGTTTAAATGAAGTGATTATTATATTGTTTAGTAGAGATCGAGCTGGGCCTGAACCAAGGCCTGGGGTTTTCCTGTACACGAAGTTCAGGCCCAGGCATTTTTTGACCTTCTCGGGGCTTTCCTGTGCCTGGGCTGGAATACAAGCCCAGGACCCGGCCCAGGCCAATAAAACAAACCCAGAGCCCAGGAACAGGCCCTTGCTTTTCAAAAATCTCGATCTCTATTTTTAGATATTAAAATATGTAGAGGAGTATATTGCAAAACCCGAGGCCGAGTAGCTATAAAGGACAAGAATCAGCAAACTTAACGGTTTGAGAACGAGTACCTGAATTGATTTGAGCTCGCTTAATTAAGTCTAGCCACCGAACGTAAGTGAACATAAGGACCCACAAAATTGACATGACAGGTGCCCAGGAATGTAGATAATAATCTACTACCGCGCGAATGTAAATAACATCTGGAAGAACTGATAGTTCCAAGTATATTAATTTTTCAATTTTAATTTCAGAATGGTATATATTCAACGATTCCATTTCTCACAATGATATTTTCGAAAATATTCTGCAGCATTATAGCTGATAAACTGCGCAAAAGAAATATATTAACCGATACACAATGCGTTAAATTATTTCAAGCAATTGGTAGTAAAATTTTTAAAGGTCTTTAAAAATTAATTTTAAAGCTAATATTGGGGCAGCTGCATCAGCTTTTTGTATGGCAACATTTGTTACCTGTGGAAATCCACAATTAGCTATAGTGGGTCTTTCAACATGGGGTAAATATTTGGCAATAATCAAGAGATCGAACATATTTAGGAATGAGTTTTGGAGCAAATGCAAGTGGAGTTTTCACTCAACTTTTGTTGATTGCACCTTGTTATAGTGGTCTAATAAGTTCGATAAGCACAGGATTTACCTATGTAGTTAATGGTATTTCTCCAACAATTATATCTGCAATAGTTAAACATGTAATAATTATTCGGGAAATAATGGTATTCTGTTCGGACTAGGTATAAGACTAGAGATGAGATGCTCCGCGGGACTAGGAAAAAGGCTGGAGAGACGTCTCTCATTTTGCTATACTTTTGGATAGGAGTGGGATAGAGTGCCATCCTCGGATATCCCTCTACAGCAGCGATAGAAGGATTAAGATAAGATTTTCAATATTTTCTTTGGGTCGGCTTCGGGTAGGGTCAATTATAAATTTGTCCAAGTAGCTGCTTTTTCGGAGTGTGGGATATCTGTGATTTCGTGGGATTAAAAATATTCGGGGATTTGCAGCGATTAAAATGGATTTGGATCAATTAAGAATCGCACTCATATAACCTTCCAAATCACTTGATATCCTAGATATATTTTTAAATCATTCGATATCTCTCCTTAATTCCAGTCCCCCCATATTCTCCTATCTAATCAAATCAACCGATATCTCCTCAAGAATATAAGCAATCAGACATATTTTATAAATTTTTTTTATCATTATTAAGGGGTCACCTTCGGAGTGGAGAACGATTTGGTATATTCTCTCTGGATCTAACCTATTTTGCGCGGCATTTTTTATCCTTTTTGCTTCTGGTAGTTGCGAAATTTAATTTAAATTTAATAAAATATATTAGGAAAACAACAAAAATGGGCAGACGTTGAAGAACTACATAAGCCGAAGCTAAGCACGAATTGACGATTGTCAAACCGATTAAAAATAATTTGAACAATAATATTATATAATTATTATTGTTAATTTATTTTAATATGTGCTTTAATTATATTCTCATAAAATTATTAATGATTTAATTAAAATATGTAACTAGCTTGTAAAGCGTATTACTACTGTCTCTAGCGGTTTTGTAAAATATGAAATTACGTTTTAATAAAATATTTTTTCATTATTTCTAAAATATTGACTCCAATATCCATTCTCAGATCCAATTGACTATTATTTTTGTAGAAATCCTCATAATACCCCAACGAACGGCGATCAAACAACTTTGTAAGACTAATACTTCAAGACCACTGGTATAATGCATAAAATCCAGCAAACGCTGGTTGTACCCTGATTGGTCAAGCTAATTGGTCGGTCAGATTAACCTTACCCTGGTTGATTAGGTTTCTCATCAGTAAAGTTGAGTTATTCCATACATTATTGAGTTATCTTCAATTATATGAAAATCATTGATTAATATTAAATAAATTTTTAAACAACCTTCCCATTAATTTTTTAGATGTAAATTGGTCAGAATTAGCCGATTAGAAAATTTATTTCTTGACTTAGTTTGAAAAGAATTTATACATAGGTAAATCGACTCAGAAATCGGAAGTTTGAAATCGGAGTTCCGATTTCCTCTGCTAGCAAACAAAAATAATTTATTTTTTAATGTACAACAAAAAATAATTGCAATATAATAATATTTTATTAAAAACAAAAACTTTTCGAAAATAAATTTATGCAAATTATTAACGTTATAGTCTAAATACATATGTACAGCAAAGTATATTTAACATTTAATCTGGGGAATTTATCAGTGGGAAATTTCCCGATAATATGAAAATCTGCATAAAAATTATTTGCGGAAAAAAATAAAAATTTAATGAGGAGATGATAGTCTTGATTAAAGATGTACATCATTAAAGATGTGTCAAACATAAAGGGTGGGATTTAGGGAATTAATTCTTATATTGTAGACTATAAATCAAAACAATCCGAACAATGTATCAGAACGTTCTCCTTCATTAGCTCACACCTCCTATTCTTATCATTTAGCCCATTTCTTTGTCCGATTTATTCTAATAATAAAATTTAAAAACGGACTGATAGTGGATGTTTGTTGGAATAAATTTCACAGTTCATGAATATGAGCAAGCCAATCCACCGGAGGTAGGTAGGAGATAAAGTATGTGCCGGAACTTGGAACTGTCGGAGATCAGAATTCTAATTGAACTTGTAACAATCGACCTACTTTTTAGAACCGATCTCCGAAGAAGCTCAGTTATTCGGGCGCATTTATGTAAGGATCCGATGGTTGTCGAATAAGGCCTTTAGAAGTGATATTCGGGAGTTGAAAAGCCGAGAATTGAAACCGAGACCGGGAATCAACCTCGAAATCGAACCTGATCAAGAGAGAGGAGAGAGAGGAGAAGCCCCCAACTGAACTTTTCCGGAGATCGATGGTTCTAATAAGGGGTCCTTAGATATGATTCCTGGCTTTTCTTGAATATTTTTTTCCTCAAAATCCGTAATTTTAAAATCCGCAAATTTTGTAATAATTTTGAAATAATAAAAGTATAATATTATTTATTTTGACAAAATACAATGGGTGGTTGACGTAAATCTCTATTTATGTTTATGTAAATTTTAATTCCAACACAAAATTTTTTTCATTTTTTCAACAAATGAAAAACATGCGAAAAAAACTTTAAAAAATTATTTTTATTATTCAAATTCTTGTTATTTTTACTTTTTTCCACGTTTTTACGTTTTAAAAAAATTTTGTTTGACGACAATTTACACTAGTTTTAATGTAAAACATAACAATAAAAATTTTTAGTTATCAAATTAGACACGTTTAAAAGGATGATTAATCTCTCAACTTTCGTCTTTCAACTTGCCTAAAAAGTTTTATTAGCGAGGAGAAAAAATATATTTCCTCATTTTTATTATTAAAAAGTCTTTAAGGAATTTTTATAAATTTTAAATAAAAATTATTTTATAAATGATTCATTTATTTTATAATAACTAAACTTATTTTAATAAATTATACGCTTAATTTTATGAATTAATTGGGTTAAAAATTTATTAATATTTATTAAAATATTTCTGACCATTTTGATAAGGATCTTCAGGAAGCTTTCAGGAATGTGTACATTAGTTAATAAAAGTACCTACTGGCCTACGAATAGATGGTCCCAGGTAGGGTGGAGCGGTAGTGCCTTGGCCTTTACAGAGGGCCTCGGATTCAAAAGCATCTCTCCTCTTGGGACGTGCCAACGTTTTAGTGCCTATAGCGACAGAATCCGGGGCAGTTCTTTCTTAGTACTACAAAAAAACAAAAATGCTCCATACTTTAGAGCATTCTTTGAGCAATGCTCCATACTCCATACTTTACTCTTTACTCCAAACTTGATAGAATTTTATAAATATCTTTTAATTTTTAGATATTATTCATAATTAAAATTTAGAAAATAATTATAAATTTATTAGAGGATTCAGTAACATTTAGTTAAATTATGGCTTCATCAGACAAATCTCCTCTTTCAATGATTAGTAAATCTTCCAAATCCAAAATAATTCCAACAGATATAAATACATCAACAACTAAAGCTAATGAATCTAAAATATCCAAAAGGGAACCCTTTTTTGGCAAATTCAGATTTTGTATCGCCATTCTTCTTGGATTCACTACTTTTTCTTATACTTCATTAAGAATGAATTTAAGTATGGGAATGGTTGGTTAATTTAAAAAGTTCATAAAGTTATAAAGGTCGATAGAGAGAGCCCTAGCTGATAGAGTTTTCTCTTAAAAGCTATCTCTCTCTTCTCTCTCTATCTCTCTCTTTCTAAGTTCAACATATCTATCTCCCACACTCTTTCCCTCTCTCTTTTTTCCCTCTCTCTCTTCTTTCCCTCTCTCTCTTTCCCTCTCTCTCTCTTTCCCTTTCTCTCTTTCCATTTCTCTCTTCTTTCCCCCTCTCTCTTTCCCTCTCTCTCTCTTTCCCTCTCTCTCTTTCCCTCTTTCCCTCTCTCTCTCTCTCTCTTTCCCTCTCTCTATCTCTCTCTCTTTCCCCCTCTCTCTCTTTGCCAGCCATCATAGAGTTTGGCTGGGTCTAGAACCGTACTAGCTTGCCGGGCATCTTTTTCGGCTTTATTCAATAATGCGGAGGAACCAATAATCAAGGTTCTGTCTTTTCCCCGTAAAATAAAAACTGATTTAGAAATTTGACCATAGTATTGAAAAAATCTCCATATTTCCCAAATAAACTGAATTACCTACAGGTTTGCATGGTTAACTCAACGGCCATACATTTACGGGACAATGATAATGCTGAAGTTTCAAATGGAAAAAATACATCTTTCAATGATTATGCACATAAAATACATTTGAAAAATCTAGCATATGCGGAAGAATGTGGTGATCGAGAGATAAAATCGAATATACATAGAAATTTGGGATATCAGGTTGAAACCTGAGGTCCCACCTTGATAAAAAATAATTAAAGGGTTCAATAGAATGGTCAGCCTCTGAACAAGCTAGGCTGTTCGCTGCACTATTTTATGGCGGTTTTATAACAATTTGGTTCTCGGGCTATTTGGCTGATAGATTTGGCCCAAAGCTTTTGATTGGAATGGCAGTTTTAGATATGTCTGTATGTTCACTCCTTTCTCCAGTGCTAGTTGATCTGAATTATTATGCATTTTTTGTTGCCAGATTCTTGATGGGGCTTGGAGATGTAAGTTTATATTTTGATCTCGGAGCCCTCGGAGCCCTACATGAATGCGTTAGGGCTCAGAGCTTCCTCGGAGATCAGTTATGATTTCCGATCTGAAAGGATCTGGATATCTTGGCATTTATCTAATCCGGATCCAAGAACCCTAGAGTCTATAGTATATGTATCAAATGGGAATGCTTTTGGAATTCAACATAATTTACTTTAGGGTTTCATCTTCCCAACAGTAGCATCAGCCAATGCTCGTTGGTCACCACCAGCCGAACGCAGCTTAATGTTTGCAATATGCACGTTGGGTAACCAAATAGCTGCCGTTGTTGCTCTTTTACTTGGATCACGACTTTGTGCCATACAATTTTTGGACGGATGGAGATTAATTTTTCTTAGTTTTGGTGCCATTGGAATGACAAGCTTTACTTTATGGACTATTTTCGCTGCAAATAGCCCCGATGAAAGTAGCTGGATTGGTTTAAAAGAAAAACAAATGATTACTGCTAGCCTGACAGCAGGGGGATCTAGAAAATCCATCAGCTCTAGAAGAGTAATTCTTCCAAAAATATTATATTCTAAAAATTATTTAGTTAAATACCGGAAAAGTTCCTTGGAGTAAAATGGCTAGGAGTTTACCTTTATATGCTGGCATAATTGGACAAGTAAATTGTCAATTTTGTACAATGGTGCTGCAATCTTATTTGCCTACTTATTTAAAAGAATATTTGAAATTGAGTTTAAATGATGTAAGTACGATATCTTTTGATTATATACTATGTTCCGAGTATTTTGAAACTTAGAGCTCAAGCGGCAATAAGGCCTGAGCCTAGCATAGTAAAACACTAGCGCTTAAGTACGGGTATTCGAATTCTTCGAGCTCCCTGCTCTAGTTTAGAGAGTATTTTGGAAAGCCGAGCTCGAGTAGTACTGACTGGGTTCGTGTATTACTGCCCCTACCCCAAGCTTGAATTGTAATAAGTACTGGAACTAGTTGAGTCCGCTTAGTCTAGTTTAAAAATAAAACAAAAACTGAATCTTTGAGCAAATGAACTGGGCTTGTCAGAAGCCCATACGAAACCATACTTAGGATTGCGCCAGGTACCATCGCATGTGACAGTGAAACAATAGCCTCATTTAAATAAGGATGCCAAACATCGACAATTTAATCTCAATTTCAGAACGGAATATATTCAATGCTTCCATTTCTCTCAATGATATTTTCAAAAATATTCTTCAGCATTGTAGCCGACCAACTTCGCAAGAGAAATAAATTAACGGATACACAAAGTGTTAAATTATTTCAAGCAATTGGTAATTAAACGAAGAAATTTTTCATAAAAATCTAATTTTAAAGCCAATATTGGGGCGGCAACCTCAGCTTTTTGTATGGCAAAATTTGTTACGTGTGGAAATCCACAATTGGCTATAGTGTTCCTTTTAACATGGGGTATTTATTTGATAAAAATCAAGAGATCAAACACATTTAGGAATGAGTTTTGGAGCAAACGCAAGTGGATTCTTCACTCAACTTTTGCTTATTGCACCTCGTTATAGTGGTCTAATAAGCTCGATTAGTACTGGATTTACTTATGCAGTTAATGGCATTTCACCGTCAATTATCTCAGCGATAATAAAACATGTAAATAAGCTTTAGACAAATACATAATGATATTCCGATCACTTAGGAATATGGAAGGAGAGGACATGTTAGTTCGAACTAAGAATACATAAGTTGGGAAAGGAATGCCCCGTTCGGACTAGGAGATAAGCTGGAGATAACATCTCTCGTTTTGACTAAGTTAGGCTAGTGAGTCCTTTCGGACTAGGAGGTAGATTGGAGGTAACATGGCCCATTCGGAATATGAGTAGGCTAAAGAGATGTATTTCTGGTTCAGACTAAAAATAAAACTGGAGAGAGCATCCCTCGTAGGACTAAGAAATAAACTGACAATAATATCTCACTTCGGACTATGAGTAGGCTCGAGAAAACTGTCACATTCGGATAGGAAGTACATAGAAGGAGCAAGTCTTTTTTCTAAAATATTCTTAAAATTTAAGGGAGCCCCTTCAGAGTGGAGAACGATTTGGTATATTCTCTTTGGATCTAACCTATTTTGTGCGGCATTTTTTATCCTTTTTGCTTCTGGTAGTTTCAAAATTAAGTTAAATTTAATAAAATATAATAGGAAAACAACAAAAATGGGCCGATGCTGCAGAACTAAGTCGAAGCGAAACACGAACAGAAGATTGCCAGACTGATTGAACATAAGTTAAAAAATAACACTAAATTAGTGTTATTTTATAATTAATTTTGTGCCCTACATTTATTTTTATAAAATTAAAAATTTGTGGTTTAATTAAAAAAAGTAACGATGATTCATTGAGGATTTGTTCATAATCTACGACAGCCTTGTAGTCATTTCTAAGCGCTTTCGCGCTTAGAATTCGCCCACCATATGCAGGAACTACCGGGCATATGCAGGAAATACAGGGGCATATGCAGGAACTACCGGGGCATATGCAGGAAATATCGGGGCATATGCAGGAAATACCGGGGCATATGCAGGAACTACCGGGGCATCAAGTAATGCTTACACTTGTAAAGCATATAGCTATTTAATTCCTAAGGCTGTGCAGTAGGCGGCGTGGTGTAATGGCTAACACATCAGTCCGGTCTACTGAAGATGCTGGATCGCTCGCAGCCGCCGAATAACCTTCAGTACTAGCTAAAAAAGAGAAATAGCTATAGTCCAGCTGATTTACTCTCTTTTATCCTTTTAGATCGTTTAACCACCGCTTAATCGTTTTAAATGCTACTAGGTGAATCATCCTGACATTATTAAGAATCTAATGATGATTTTATCGGAAATAATTTTATAAAAAATTATAGTAATTTAATTGACTAAATTAGTTTAATAATGATTTACATTTATTAATTTATCGAAAAAATTTAATTTTTATTCTGTCATTAACGCTAATTTGTTTAATTATTTATACTTAATTAGATGTCAAGTTTACGATTTTTTATTAAATATTTTCAAATTTTGTATGTTTGTAATGTCATAGGTAATTAAATTTTAAAATAGGATTAATAAAGATGCGCATCGAAACATTGGAGGTTGGACCATTCAAAAATACTAAAATAAGGCCTCAATGAGGGGAGGATTCATTCGAGTAATGCATCTCGCTAGAATGAAATTTGGGGATATATGGACATATTGGGAAGAGTCAATTTAATTTTTTAATCATAGGATCTTAGGAAATCTATACCTGGGACTAGTTATAATTTAAATCAGTTAGTATATTTAATGAAGTTCCCCTCGTTGTTTCAATGTTTTCATCTACATTTATCGCGCCAGAAGAATGGAGTATGGACAATTCAACTAATACTCCTTTTTATTACGGTATGTTTAAGTGACAAAATTATAGGCTAAATTCAAAATATTTCTAAGATGCCCATCGTTGTGGAATGCCAATCAAAATTGATGTAATTTTTAAATTTAAATTTTTAAGAGGGGGGGAGGGGGGTGGGGCAATATTAGAATCTTGATCCGTTACTCCCTAAATATTAATTAAGAATAATGGATATGTCCGTAGAGAGAAGAGATTTCGTCCTCCACATCACAGACATCACCGACGACGCTTTAACAAGACACGCGAACATGTACATAGAAAGATGATGGGTGGGTATGAAGTAGAAGAAGGCGATTTACCATGGGCTGTAACTATACATAAAATTTATCAGGAGCATAAAGCTACCTGTTCTGGCACTCTCATTTCGAGACGTCATGTAATAACAGCAGCACACTGCTTTGCTAAACCTGGAACCGAGAAGGAGGAGGCTGAAAGATGCATGTAGGTTTTATGGGTTTCTGGCTATTTGACACTTAGGGGGGGGGGTTTACTGGGGTAAGGAGGTTACTAGGGATCGGGGGTTTACTGGACCTATGGGGTTCGGATCGGAGTCGTTGACAAAACAGCGTCAGGGTTTCGGGGACCGTGATGCTATCCATTCAAAAGTCAAAATAATTCAAAAGATTTTGAGGAAATAAATTAAAATTTTGAATAAAATTCAGTTCATACTCACACAATGCAATCCCAGAGGAAGAGGTCGCAAAATACCGTACAACTTATATAGGCTCAATCTGCACTAAAGCAAATAATACTATGGGTGAATGTAAATCTAATAGACAGCAAAAACGATTTAATATTAAAAAGTAATTAGCTAATCCTTTTCAATTAAATTTTATTTTTAAAATTCAGGGCAAAATATTCGCATTTTTTTGACTCAGAATGTCATTTCGGTGAATCTGATAGAATAATAGTAAAGCTAAAATAATTTATAGGTGATTTTGCTCTCCTGGAATTGGAAGAGGATGTTCCTGCTTCTATAGCAAATCATATAGTAAATTATTAAAACTCAAACCATTTACCCTTACCAAAGTGTGCACCATGGTGTGCCAGTTTCGCGTTTCGCCTGCTGCGGATTTTCGCGTTTTTTGGACTTTCGCCCTGACATACACTAGGGATGGGCCCCTTCAAAATCTCATAATAATGGAACACGAAAACGCGAGGAAAACGAAAAAGAATAAAAACAATAGACGTAAGACTAAAGCGGAAGTGCAAGAAAGACTAAAATAGATTGAATCGGAAGAGTTCCCATCCGTTGTGTTCTCTAGGGAAACAATTATAATGCCTAAATATAATTCGATTTTAAGTGCTTGTTGAATCTCCATCCAACTACTCGATTAATTGACTGGCATTCGGATTCTAGACCTGTAATAGCCTATGGATGGGGAACAGATCGTAATTTTAATATGTTGTATTAAGCATTTAAATGTTGTATTAAGCAACTCTTTGTACTGGGCGTGGACTTTCTGAGGACGAATTATACAATTGTTTTAAGCAAGCCCAATCACAACTTCATTTACTTGTATTACCTGGAATCTGGAGAGATCATGAATGTAGAACAACACTGGAACGTGAAGCTCCAGAATGGCAAAAAGAAATTAGCGAGAGAAAGGATATTTTTTGTACTATGGAGAAAAATGAAGGATCTGTTTGTTCCGTATGTGAATAGAAGAAAAATAAAATTTATTCTAATCAAAGGGAGATAGTGGAGGAGGTCTTATTGGACAATTTGAAGATGCCAGTTTTGACGGGGGAAAACGCTGGTTCCTTCTTGGCATCGTTTCATTCGGAATTCCTTGTGACGCAGCTCATCAAGGATATATGGATCATGGTGCTCAGGCTAGTCTGATATAAAAATTCTCATAGTCGATTTAGTTAAGGCAATTAAGGGTAGTTTTTTGAGTTATATGCCTTTTAAGGGGATTTGGTAGTTCCTCTACAGTATCTTTGGAACTTGTAGTTGAGCAGAAATTTTTGTTTATCCGAGGATTTCAATTCTAGATATAGACGTCGCTTAGTAAGGCCCCTCAGGGTATATGTCTCATATGAATTCCTGTTAAGGAAGTCTTTATGCAAATAAGAAAGGTGTTGTTCCCTGTACTGAATATCCGGAAGTTGTATTCGAAGTGGTATTCGGAACCATATGAATTCTTGTTAAGAGAGTCTATGCACATGAATAAGGTTGTTCTTCCTTGTACTGAATATCTGGAAATTGTATTTGAGATGGTATTCGGGACATCTTAAGCAAGGAATCCATAACCTCATATTTCCTACACAATTTTCCTACAGTGATAAATTTTCCATTTACTTTAAGGGACATGTTAGTGTCGCTTACCATAGCAAAGAAATAATTAATTGGATAAAGGGAGGTGTGGATATATTGCCACCTGTGGAAAAACATTCTAAGGTGAATAATATAAATGTTTCGGTCTAAATTTAGCTATATTTTAATAGGAGGAATTAGAATATGGCCAATTTGAGAACCTGGAAGTTGATAAATGTAATTGAAGATATTGTGATTATCTATCTGTTGATTAAATTTTTTTTAATAAATTTTTTTTCGAATTTTTTCTCGTCAAATTTATTCAAAAATTAATTAAAATAAAAATTTCCTTACAAAAGACATTAAGGCATGTGTATCATTCACCGCGTAATACCCATGTTTATTTCGACGGAAGTAGAAGCTATACAATATTATTGCTATGGCAAAAAGTAGAGAGATCAGAAGGCCCGAGTCTTGTCCGAATAATCCAAGCTTATCCAGGATCTAATTTTAATAAAAAAATTCATAGACAAAAAACAGCATATCAACGTGCTCGGCAGGGATCGCGCCGACCCGATTCACGATTCCCGAAAATCGGGAATTTGATTTTCTGTCGGCGCGTTCCCTGGTGCTCGGCATTTCTCGAGTATTTTCTAGTCCTAGCATTACTCATGTTTATTTGAAATTTTATTAACTTGATTTTAAACCCCGATTAAAAATAATTTTAAAAATATCATTAAATTATTAATAGTGTTAATTATAATTATGTAAACTGAACATAGTACTTTTTATTTTTATAAAATTAAAAATTCAATGATTTAATTAAAAATTAAACGAGTATGATTCATACGGGAAATTGTTTAATATTAAAGTAAATTTAATGATTTGATTTGAAATGCTTTCAATTTAATGGACTAAATTATTTTAATATGTAATAATTCATTAATCTATCTAAAAATTAATTTTTATTCTGCCATTAATGCTAATTTGCTTGGATATTTATAATTAATAAGATGTCATGTTTACGATTTTTTATTAAATACTTTCATATTTTCTACTTTTGCAATGTCTTGGGTAATTAAATTTTAAAGTAAAAAAAGGCTCACTCAAAAGAGAGATTGTAGTCGAGTGAAGAGTCTCTGTACTCATTGAACTCTTAAGTTAAGTACCAACAGGATTATAGAAGTCTAAGATTATAACAAAAGTCAAATTGAAAAATTTAATTTTAAAAATCCACACCTGTGGACTCTTTCCTAAAATTCATATCAGAATAATTTATTGTTTACGAAGTTCCTTTTACCGCTTCAATGTTCACCTCTACATTTTACGCACCAGAACAATGGAATTTGGACAATTCAACAAGTACTCCTTTCTATTACGGTATGTTTAAATGCACAATTATCAGGCTAAATTCAAAATATTCTCAAGATGCCCATCGTTGCGGAATGCCAATCCATTTTGATGTAATTTTTAAATTTAAATTTTGAAAGGGGGATGGGGGGGGGGGGTCAATATGTAGGTGAATCTTACGACGTTACTTCCTAAATATTTATTAAGAATAATGGATATGTCCGTAGAGAGAAGAGATTTCGTCCTCCACATCTCAGACATCACCGAAGACACTTTAACAAGACACGTGAACATGTACATAGAAAGATGATGGGTGGATATGACGTAGATGAAGGAGATATGCCATGGGCTGTATCTATACATGCAATTTATGGGGGAATTGGTGATTATCAAAATTATGTTAGAATGAAAATATCATAGAAAAATATAGATTTTGCTTTCTGTTCTGGGACTCTCATTTCGAGACGTCATGTAATAACAGCAGCACATTGCTTTTCTAAATATGTAAATGTGCCGGACGATGTTGAAGAATGCACGTAGGTTATAACGGCCCTACTGTAATAAAATAGACTCCGTAGTTTCTATAGAGTTCGAGTACCTCAAATCGATAGCTTTTTTTTGGTTGGCAAGTTTTCTCAAACATGAGGTTTTCGTGCTATTTGAAACTAGGTCTCGATTTTACAAATGTTTTTGTTACTTTCCATCACCTATATCTTAAATTATTTTTCCAAAATAGGGTAGGTACTGGTCCTAGTTTACTATGGTAAACTAGGGGCTATTATAACTACGGTAGATCTCTACCATTCTGGGTCAAGTCAAGGATCGGGGTTTGCTTGGTTAAGTCCTTCGGTGTTTGGTTCTGGATTTTTGCCAAAGATTAATGGTATTTCGGGCGACGGGGTGCTACCGTATCAAAAACAGCCCAACATGATCCAAAGGATCGCGTTGGCATTGATTTTGACTCGAAAGAACTCTGCATGTTTGACTCGAAATAAGCACAATGAATTAAATAGGGCTTTGTCCCGAATTGGAGAGAGCAACAAGAATTCAGTAGCTTTGAGTTCATACTTATTTAGTTCATACTCACTCAATGCAATCAAAGAAGAAGAAATTGGAGAATACCACGCAGCTTATATCGGCTCAATCTGCACTAAAGCGAATAATACTAAGGGTGCATGTAAATCTAATAGACAACAGAGACGATTTAAAATTAAGAAGTAAAATGAGTCTATTTGAATAAAATCTTAATTTTGAAATTTAGGGCAAAATATTCAAGATTTTTTGATTCACAATGTGTCGGTAATGATTTTGCTCTCTTGGAATTGGAAGAGGATGTTCCCGCGTCCATAGCAAATCATATAGTAAATTACATTATTAATAGATATTAACAGTCTGAACTAATTTAAGTGCTTGTTAGATCTTCATCCAACTACACGTTTAATTGACTGGCATTCGGATTCTAGACCTGTGTTAGCTTATGGATGGGGAGCAGATCGTAAAGTTTATAGCGATTAAAATCAGTGTTTCAAAATTTGAAACTCGGCTCAACACCGTATCATACTAAACTCTTTCCCTCGGATATCCGTAAATTTTCGGTTCGGACATCGGTTCCGGATCTGGTTATCCGAAATCTTTTGTTCGGACATCGGGAACGGTTCCGGATATTCGAAATCTTTGGTTCGGATATCGGTTCCGGTTCCGGATGATTCCCCAGGGACCTCCGGATGATTCCCCAGGATGATTCCCAGGTTCCGGAGATTCCCCAGGGACCGCCATCCTCACTGTATACTCCGTATCACCCTAAAACCTTTCCCTCGTATTCTATTTTGTGTTATGTACAAACTAGAGTACCGTAACGACAGCCCTTATAAATATTCTCGAATGTTATATTAAGCAAGTACTTGTAGACGTGGGGATAAAGAATGTTATAAGGTACAACAAGCACAGCTTAATTTACTCGTACTACCTGGGATTTGGAGAGATCATGAATGTAAAGAATCATTGAATAAAGCATATGTAGACGGTCAAGATGTTTCTGATATAAAGGATATTCTTTGTACTATGGAAAAGTCCGACGGAGCTGTTTGTTCCGTATGTAAATATGTAAAAACAGAATTATGATTTATTCTAATTAAAGGGAGACAGTGGAGGAGGTCTTATTGGTCAATTCGAAGACGCCAGTTTTGGCGTGGGAAAACGATGGTTCCTTCTCGGTGTCGTTTCATTCGGTACACCTTGTCAAAATACTCATTTCGGATATGCTAGTCCTAATTCTCAGGCTAGTTTGCTTTTAAAAAGATAATTCGGCTCGGGCAATTTAAGGTACTTAAGGGTTAAGGCACTTAAGGCACTTAAGGTATGCCATTTTAAGTAGTTTCTATAAAAATAAAATTGAAGGGAGTACTGTTAGTAGTTAATGGACAGAATATTTGAACTGGACTTGAGCTTAGTAGATCTTTTTGTATCAGTCTTTCAATTCCTGATAAACCCAATTAGTTAAGACCCTCAGGGCACATGCCTAATATAAATGCCTTGTTAAGGGAGTATCTACATATAGACTTGAATAAGGTTGGAAATTCCTTTAACGATATCAGGAATTTTATTTAAAGAGAAAATCTCATTTTAAATCCCTTCCTTTTTCAATCTTGGACATCGTAATCACAACCTTACGGACAAATACCTCCATTTGCCTTTGTCCGTGAGATTTTTTACATTTATTTAAAGGGATATACGAGTGTCTCTTACCATAGCAAAGAAATAATTAAATGGATATATGGAGATACGGATATATTGCCACATGTGAAAAAACATTCTAAGGTGTATAATAAAAATTAAAATTGTTTCGGTTTAAATTTAGAAATATTTTTAATAGGAGGAACTAGAATATGGACAATTCGAGAACCTAGAAGTTGATAGATGTAGCTAATACTATAATTTTACTTAGATTTTTATCTTCAAAATTCATTCAAGAATCAAAACAAATAAAATAAAAATTTCTTTACAAAAGACATTAAGGCATAAGTATCATTCACCGCGTAATACCCACGCTTCTTTCGACGGAAGTAGAAGCAATACAATATTATTGCTATGGCAAAAAGTAGAGAGATCAGAAGGAATATAATAACAAATGTAATAAAGCCTGAAATTTAAGGATTAAATTTTTTAAAAAGATGCTTTGGTAAAATGCTAGGATTAAATGTTTTACTTAAAGCTCACAATATGCCGGAACATTGTTTTCCTGCCCGATAGTCAAGGAAAGCGGTCATTTTGATAAAATGCGTGTTGAGGAGTTTCCTGATTTTTGGGGTTTAGCTCAGAAACCCGGAGTGATCTTTCCAGAAAAATCTGACTGAGCCCGGGGGGGGGGGGGGTTGTAAAAATCGCAGATCAAGCTTTTCATGATCAATTTTAAGTCTGCCTTTTAACAGTTCTTAACTATTACTTGATTTTCCTTTCGACCTGACTTTATAAACTGTTCGAGAAAAGTCCAAACAGTAATAGCTGAATATACTTAAATTTGTTCCTCCCCTGTCAAAATGGTCTCCTGTTGACCATTTTGATTAATAGTTAAGTCTTTGGTAATAGTTAAGTCTTTGGTCGCGGAATTTTGCCATATATAAATACCAACTTGTATGTTCTCCACTGAAATACCACGCCCCAGCAGCAATACCACCTGCCGCCAAGGCTAAATTAGCGCCTGACAATGCTTTTGATCTGGCCTTTTGAACCTCGTCTTTTGCATTGTAACTATTAAATTGGGGAGGTTCGTATGGCCGATAATTTTGCCGTCTATTCATTCCTCGAATTGGCATGTTTCTGAGATTTTTACTTGATCCTATAACATCATCAATTTTGTCAGCACCGTTTTTCATAACTTTAAAAGTTGGAAATTTTGTAGATTAGAAATGAAGGGACCTGGGGAAGAGGAGTTATTTTACTATTAGAAAAGGTTCTGTAGGAGAAATTATTTTGGAGATGCTTCATGGCCATACGTTAATTTGTGGCTACATTTGCTCCATTAGATTGCTTCTGGGGGAATTACGACTTTTTTGGTCATAAAGGGCTGCGAAATAGGATATTTATTTATCCTACCCAATACCTGAAACAGAGCCCCCTTTTTTATCAACTCGCCCATCACTTCTAGTAGACTGGTAGAAGAGTTATTATAGCTAGGGGTTACGATATAAGGAACAATTTGCATACATATCCTAGTTGGGGTTAATAAAGTATTCATTATAATCAGAGGTGAATCGGATTCCGATTTCCGCCTTTCGAAAATTTAGGCTTATTTCCAATTTCTGAGTTCCGACTTTTGAGACAGTTCCGATTTCCGATTTCTGACAGTTCCGACTTCCGATACCTTTGCATTTCCGATTCAATTATGATCATAATAAGAGTTCCTTTATTCGCCCGAGGCCTTTGTATACTATAAGTTCATCAAAGACGTACCAAATTTTGTTCCTACACCCACAACATCATCAACATTGTCTACAGCTGCAGCTGCACCTGGCGCAACCTTTGCCTGTCCAGTTATTTTAGAAAAAAGTTTGGATATATGGCTAAAAGGCAGTCTGCGCTTTACTCTGCTCTATTAAATTTTTTTTTTAATTTTTAAAAATTATTTTTTTTAATTTCCAACATTAATGCCAGTCTCTCTAGGCGAACAAAAAAGTTGTTGGATAGTTAAGACCGTTAATAAATTAATAAATATAATTTTATAATTAATAAGCATTTAATTGTTGGAGTAATAAATTAATTAATAACGGCATTAAATGGTGATTAATAATTTAATTTTTATTATTTTATTAAAAATAGCATCTTGAAATTAATTTTTTCTTTTAATTCTTATCGGAAAAAAATAAATTTATAAATTAAAGTTGACTCATAAAAATTTGATAAAAAAATAATAAAAGCTTCCATTTATAATAGGAAACAATATAAGCCGTCGAAGCATGACGCAGAATTATTTAAAAATTAAACAGACAAAATATGAGAGCAAAATGGGGGTGTCTATTATCATAATTTCGAGTTTCAGAATTTAAAAAAATAATTCTGAATTCAGAAGATCTGAATAGAAGAAAAAAATCAAAATTTAGAACTCATTTTCCGATACTCCTAATATTAACCATAATTAGGGTTCCCAAAATGGTCCGACTCGGACCGAAAAGTCGAGTCACTCTGAGATATTTGGCCCGAAAAAAACTCGTACCGGCCCGACTCAATAAAAATAAGGCAAGAAAAATGACTCGACCGTCGGGCCGACTCGAAAAAAGAAACCCTAACCTCAATACAAGTTACATTTTACTAAATTTACTTGGCCACTAGGTGGGCAGGTGCTTAAGCCTCCAATTAAGGATCCATCATATTCCCATTGACTAGATCATTAAGATTTTTTGTTTCTTGTTTCCATTTTTGGTAATTTAAAATTTTTGATGTAACTTGTAAATTTCACTACGAGGTAGTGAAGTTTAAAAAATCATACCTTCAAGAATATCACCCGTATATAGCTATACCTGGTATTAAAATGAAGAGTAGATTCAGATCTATATGTTGGTTAATAAGAAAAAAGAATACTTGTAAAATAACACCCCTAAAAATTCAATCTAAAAAAACGGCCACTAATTATGACGCGACCTAATAGGATAAAATTAAATACGCTCCAAGTAGTGTCGGCGGATTCTAAGATTATGATCCGATATATGATCCGAAAATTTACGGATATTCGGAGTTTTTTGGATTTAAAAATCCTGATCCATAGAGGTATTAGTCTCAAGAGGGTATTGAAAAATGAGTCTGATTTAATGAGATTCAAAGCATTGGATCAGATTCAAAAGCTTTAAAGCCTTGGCCTTAATTTTTAAAAATTAAATAGACAATTTATTTTAAATTTAAAAAAATTTTTGGATGAGTTTTAAAGTTAATAATATGTAGTAAAAAAAAATTATAATTATTTTATTTGTTAGGATCCAATCCTCAATTATATTTTTAATAAAAAAAATCAAAAAGCAAAAGTAAAAAACTTAACAAAAATAGAGGCAAGAGGGAGAGGGAATAGATAAAAAATATTTTTTTTCGAATTGCTGACAGCCGCTGATTCATCCTTTTGTTTGCTACTATCGGGTCAATTAACGATCACTCTTGGGGTAGAGGACATTAATTTTTTATGTTAGAATTTTGAGCAAACAAAGATTTTAAATTGTTTAATTAAATTTTTTTATTGTTTTTTGGAATTTTTATTTTTGTTTTTCAAAAATACGAACTACCGTATTTATTCTAATAGAATGGCAGCCATTCTATTTTCCAATACTCCCAAAACATGTGTCAATCTATTGGAGGTGCCATTCAATTAGAATAAATACGGTAAATAGGAACTTGTTGGTAATCGACATTTGAGAACCCGATATTTGTGAACTTGATAGTTGAAAACTCAACATTTGCGATACGACATTGAGAAAATGACATCTGAGGGCACGACTTTTGAAAACTCGACATTTGTGAACACGACATTTTAGTACCTGCTATTTGCGAACAATCATTTGAGAACACGACATTTGAGTACACGCTATTTGAGAACTCGGATTTGATTGTTGACATTTGAGAATAGAGGAGATGATTCAAAATTTGAAACTGGATAGAACGAGAAGTAAATAGCAGAAGTGGCGCTAGTCTCGTACCCTTGAAATCTCGTATTTTTTTGAGAATCTCGTATCTCATGAATCTCGTGTCTCGCATTTTATGGGAATACATAGAGCCACCCCTGGTAGATCGGCAAGGTCTTTACCTGATCTTTACCTTCTATCCTAATAGTGGATGAGACTTTAATTAAGAACCTTTATTAATATATCAAAAATTATCCTTCCCAGCTGTCAATAATTTCAATAATTTCCATTTTTCCTCTATTTTCACAATAAACATCATCCTTTTTGTCACTCGCGCAGCAATTCCAATCGATTCATTCATGCACACAAAATAAAATTTTCGGTGTGTAAACAAGCACGGATTGCACACAGGTATACATCTGTCTCCCTCCCTCCACTCCCTTTCTCTCCCTCTACCAAAAATTCCCCCTCCCCCTCCCCCCGCTTTTTACTTATTGACAGCATCATTGCTTAGTAACCATATTTGTAAATAAATTTTCTCTTATAAATTCTTGGAATTTAATTTTTAATTTTTCGTCATATTTTTTAACAAATATCAAAACCCTTTAAACAATTACTCAACATTATTTTTAAATTAATAAGCGCTCGCCTCCCCCTAGACATTAAAAAACAGGGCGGTATGTGTTGTAGCTAGCTGAGCGCCATTTTGAATTTTGACGAATTTTAGTTAATATTTTTTTATTTTTCTTATATTTTTTTTCTTAAAATTTTGTGTCGCACAGCCTATAAAATAAAATTTGAGAGAAGGGGAAATAAAGGCAAATAATTTTTTTTATTTTTAAATTAATGCGTGTCATTTCCTCCCAACTTACTTTCTCAACTCTCTTTACTCTCGATTATTTGTTTAATAATTTATTTAATTTTAATAAGACCTTTAATTAAAGAAAATTTAATTCGGAACTTAATAAAAGATAACGCTATGGTAGATAACCCGTCGTCTAGCCATTGGACGAGGGAGCTTCTAAAGAGCAAACCCTCTATTTAAATTAATCCTTATTATTTTGAGGATCAAATTAATCTTAAAATTTATCTTGTAGTAATAGAGATATTAAAGAGATACCCTCTGTTTAAAATACCCGTCGAGGGTGGGAGAGCTTCTAAAGAGCTAACCCTCTATTTATATAATTCCATTATAAGACACTACATTCTGCTTCATATAATTACCCCCCCCCCTATGTTTTTTTTGATTTTCGGGGACCTATATCTCAGTCCACAGGCAACCGGACAAAAAGACCTCTATATACCCTTATTTATATTAATCTCACTAAAAGACACTACATTCTAGCCTCAAGATTATATCTCGTAGTGTCAATGTATGGGGAGTTTTTAAAGTGATACCCTCTATTTAAAATACTTATGGGATACAACATTTATCATAATAACCCTTTGATAGATAACCCGTCGTCTGACCATTAGGAGAGGGAGCTTCTAAAGCGCGAACCCCTCTTTTTAGTGTAATCCCATTAAGAGACACTACATTCTAACCTCAAGATTATATCCTTTAGTGTCTATGTAAGGGTTCTTTTAAAGAGATAACCTCTATTTAAAATACTCATAGGATAAAACATATATCCTCAATACTATTGCGTCTTGTATTGTTATTGGCTGGGGACCTTTTAAAAAATTATTATTTTTTGAAGCCCCCTATTAAGCATATCCCTTCATAGGATACTACTTTCTTGATTGTATCTTGGGATCTCATTGTATGGAGAGCCTTTAGAGAGATATTAATCCTTATTTAAGAGATTATAAGTTACAATATTCTAAGGCTCATGATTGTATCTTCAGGTGCTTATAGGAGTGAGATTCTTCTAAATATTTACCTTAAGATTTAAGCATCTTTTGATTTTTAAATCTTATCTTTTAAGATTAAAATGGATAAAACTAAAAAATTTAATGTCCTCTTCCTCATTTTACTAATTTTACTTTCAAATTATGCTGATGCAAGAAAATCAGGCGGTGGAGGTTTTGGAAGTAGAGGTGGGGCTGGTAGTGCAGCCAGAGCCAATCCAGCGCCCCACCCAGCTCCAGCAGGCGGTTTTGGTGGACAACCACGTCCAGCAGCTCCTCATCCAGGCCCAGTTGGAGGAGGTGGCTTTGCCGGAGGAAGACCTCCACCTGCTGCTGGTGCAGGCCCTGGACAGTTAGTTTAAACTATTTTATGATTACTGTATTCAAACGAGTTTCAGCCTTGGTACTGGCACAGGCCTTGGTTCCGCTTCTCGTGGTTCCTCCTTTAAAACAGCCTTGGCAGGTGCAGCAATTGGTGCTGTAGGAGGAGTGTTAGCCTTTGAAGCAGGTTTTAATCTAATGTTTGGCGAATTAACCCTTAAAATTTGCCTATTACCAGGAAAGGCAATAATTAAATCAATGGATAGACCCATGCATTATGACAATAAAGATTATTACTTTGGTCAAGAATATGTTAAGAGAGGTCCAGATGATCATATCTGCAGTTATGATTATCAAGAGTTGATGAAGCAAACAGCCCCGCCGGCAGAAACTACTGTAAACGCTACAGCTGAGGAGAATAATAAAGCTTTGGCTCAAGTAATTTTTTTAATTTGACGAATTAAAATATGTAGTGGAAAAGGGCACAATGTCGTGCCCACCTGTGTGCTCTGGTGCCAAAATTAATTCCAAAAAGCTTCTAGGAAGAAAAGCTTCTAAGTCACACCTCTGTTGCTCTTATCCTATAATTTATCCCCGAAAAATAAATAGAAAGATTCACAGATGGTTGAACTATAAATTGTCATCATAGTGAGATACTTCCAGGAAGTAGGTACTCTTCAATACATTAAATTAGTTTGACCACTGGTTGGGGCTGTTCAGAAGTTAGGTAGCCCTGATTTTAAGTAATAAGGGCTGCGTTAAGTAATAGTGCCTCCTTATTAGCCCTTATTTCCCAGCTCATAATGAGGTATCTATAAATATAGACTGACACTTCTAGTGATTAACAAAGAGTTCCTGAAACACCGGAAGGATTCCATCTAATAACTTTTTTAAAAATTATTCTAAACTTTAACATTCTTAGGCTACTTTTCCAAATGGAACACGCCCAAAACAGGCAAGTTTCTCTCAAAATTCAACGGCTTATTAAGCCAAATAATTTTAAAGATTGTTTGGGCCTGCAAAAAGTGGGAGCAATGCTGTGGGATGGATTGCTGCCCAATGCCACAATCAGTATCTAGGACAGAAAATAATAAATCCTCTGCCCTTTCTACTCTCGGAAAAGTTTTGTTAATGTGGGTGATTAATTAAATAAATTTAAAAAAAATTAAAAATAAATTCCAAAAATATAATCATTTAGCACTTTAGCATCACGCTGGTTTCACTCCTATTTTGCTGCTGTTGCTTTGTAATTGTGTATAAATTTTTCCGGTCGGCTTTTGATAGGTCGGATTTTGAGCTTTAATTTAAAATAAATTTCCAAATTTCTAGTCTATTTTCCCGTGATAGTAACAATTCTTATGACTCTTCCAAATATGAAAATAATACTGTAAATTCTAATATGATGCCTGCTCAACAACCAAACAACCCTGTCCAACGTAAACTAAATCTTTATTTAATACATAGATGTCAAAGTTATAATTAGGGTTGTTACGAGGGTTGTTACGAATTAACCGATACCGAAAAATGGGGGTCAAAACCGGTGATAACTGAAAACGGGGTTACCGGTTAATAACCGTTAGTTAACAACCCTAGTTATAATCTAACTTCACCATTTGACTAGGGGCTGAAAATCTTTCTTACCTTATAACGAGGAGTGATTTACATAGGTGATAGAGTTAAGGGTAGTTGGCCATCGCTCAATTAATTATCTCAAATAAGTACCTCGATTAACTTCCTCTTTAGGAGAGGATGACTTAAAAATTCTCTTACTTAATACTAGAGTTGGCCGGGATCGGAATCCTGGTCGATATCGGGCGGGATTATCCCAGTTTTTTAGAATCTTAATCCCGATCCAGCAGTAAATATCGGGATCATTATTCCAAAAATCACGATCCCGTTATTTTGCCAAAATCTGATACCGTACAAGGGTAATTAATCTATTGACTTTATGTAAATTTATTTCATTTTTAGCTGTCCAAGCTCAAAGCTATCCAATGCACCCATATCCTAACCAACCTTCACAACAACCTGGTGGTGTAGTATATCCTTCTCAACCTTCAAATCCTCCAGCATATCCTGCATATCCACCCGCCCCAGGCTATTATGATTCCCAACAACAAAAATATTAAAATTTTTTGATATATTTTGGTAAAATTAAGGCTATTTTTGATTGTTTTTATATACTTGTAAAAATTATTGATGTACAAATAAGTACCGTGTTTCTGCTAATAGAAGAACCCTACCCGTTTTAAACACCTTATAATCAAAGACACAAAAATCCATTAATAGATGACCACGCGGCAATAACGACGCAAAGCCATAACTTCCTGGAAAATTTCTGGCCCGTATCAATATTGGCACTAATCTCTTTAGCTCGATGTGAGGAATCGTCTGATATTAAATTTAGTAGGATTTGGAAATTTCTAATCAAGTTATGGCTTTGTGCCTTTATTGTAACTAAATGCCCTACTGCGTTCAAATTTAAAATTTAAATTAGCAGAATTACGGTATTTGTAAAGATATTTAAAATTAAGTTTGACAACAATTTTATAGTGAATATTCCTTCGTATTTTTCAAATTTTTTTCAAAATATTTATAAAATTTTTTAATTCCTTGTCGTAGAATTTCGAAAATGTTCAAGGCCCAGGCCTGTTCCGAACTCTAATAGAATACACCTTACTAAATTTGTTCCTCTACGGGAGAGTCTATCTTTAAATAACTACCATGATTATTTAACAAAAAATCCCGAAAAACTTTATGCAATAAAATGGAGGACAGATTAAATGATGGACTAAATATGTAAAAAATGGAATAGAAAATTAAAAAAAAATTTAAACATCTAGAAAGGTTAAAAACAGACTTGATAATGAATACGGATATGGATAAAGATAAGTTCAAAATACCCGAGGATATCCGTCTGTATCCACCGTAAATATCCGGATACGGATGCCTAAATCCATTCTATTACCAAGTCTGTTAAAAAAATGTAAAATATAAGGATTACATGTAGTGATGGGAAAGTTCAAAATTTCTCTGGAACTAGTTCCAGTTCCAGAACTAGGTTTTTAATTTTAGTAGTACCGTAGTTCTAGTTCCAAACTAGTTCCAGATAATCGTTAGATCCGTAGTTCTAGTTCCGGAACTGGAACTAGAACTTTGCCATCACTTATTACATGTTTTTATGGTGAATTTACGATATGGTATGTTGCTCGGAAGGGGGAAAATGTACATGGGAAGGGGGAAGATTTAGTATAGGAAATCGTTTAAAAAATATGGGTTGAGGGGAACGGAGAAAATCATATCAAAAGAAGGATATGTGTCTTGTAAAGATATATGAACTCAATATGAGTTCAATGGTTTCTTTCTGGTTGCCGAAGGTTGATCAAAGTGTCTGATCAAAAACTGGTATCTTATAAAGAGGAATACTTTCATGCTGAAGGAATTAAACTGCTTAACCTAACGTCTCCAGATATTACAAGAGAGGAATACTCTGGTAAACTATAAGGTCTGTAGTTAAACTATAAGGTCTGTGGTTAAATGGAGGATCTGCCTTAGACGGCAACCTTGCAACCTTACACACGGCAACCTTGCTACGATACAAATAAAATTCCAAAAAATCACGGCTACTCAATACAGATCGCTGATTTTCAATCTCTTATTCGAGTCTCAAACTGAAGAATTCTTTTTTCAGGCAACCCCGACATAGGTATGTAACAAAATTTTACTAAAAAAGGCCAATAGTGCTGGTATGGCTTAGAGAGTTAGCTCCGGAGCTGTACCCAAAGCCTAATTTACGAATTCCAAGCCTGAACAAGAGAATAAGAACGCCCAATATATACACATCACTTCAAGCATCTCAATTTTAATGACTCAAAATGTATCTCTCTTCTAATTTCCAGATGTTGAAGGATTCTCTTTTTTAAGCTCTTTAAACTTCTCCTTTATCTTCTCGCTCATATCTTTTTGAAAATCTTTCGATTTTAATCCCAATTCTTCCTTATACGTTTCAGCCAATATCTGAGCTTTTTCTTTAAAATATTCTTCATCACTGCCAAAACTGAAGGGTGGGAAGTGTTTCTTCATTCGTGTATATGCTAATAACACTTTCCCGGCGTTAATGCGTGTTAAAATCTTAAATTTTTGAGTAAAACAGAGTCAAGAAGCCTATGAGAGAAAAGCCTATGAGAGGGATGGAAGGCTTTCTCTCCCCTATGAGAGAGAAAGCCTATGAGAGAGAGATGGAAATGACCATTCGAAAAGGCAAATAAATACAGTATGCTATATAGAATGATCATAAAATGATCTCGAAACTGACCGTTAACTTGTAAGAAGTTTTTGCATCGCCATATCTTTTAAGTTGCCCTTTTTCATGAGTAAGCCAAAAAGACAGATTCTGCTCTATATCCTCAGTTAAATCGCTTAGGAAATGACTCAAATAGTCATTTCTAACGGCCTTCAAAAATTCTGCCGTGTCCTTTATCGCTTTTTTCAGCCAAAATTCTGCTAAGATCCATGTCTTGATACGAAGCTACAAACAATTTAAAAAATATTTTTAAGTTGATACACTAGACAGAGTAATCTTTAATAAGAAAACCTGTAATAATTTGCTATTATGTTCAGTAGATGCAAAAAATGATTCAAGCATTAGGTTCATATTTTTGTAAACTTCATGACTTGCATTTAACAATGAATAGTGCTTTTCGATAAATTTAAAATGCGGCTTATCATTCTGAAATAACGTGAAATACATTCTATAGTAAGTCAGGGCTTCGCTCTCGAATTTTTAAAAACCCCAATTTTGATTTAAAATAATCCGCATTCTCATATCTTTATATTCTCATATACATACTTTGCATTCCTCAAAATCTTCAAAAGCCACAAAAATCCGAAATCCGCATTTTTAAAAATAATCCTCATCGACTATCAAAAAACCACAAAATGAGGAAAAATCCGCAGAAATCGAAGCACTGGATATTTTATTTAAAATATAATATTTTGTAAGGATGATTCACCTAGCGAGGGTTAAACGATCTAAAAAGGAAAAAGAGAATTAGTCGATGCCCAGGTAGCTCAGTGGGAAAGCTCCTATATATGATTAGCGAAACCGCAACAACTAGTAGGAGGTCGCAGGTTCAAATCCTGACCGGTGGCTAAACTTTTGCAAACTTTCTATTTCAAGATAAATAACATATCTCACCCTTGAAGCTTTTTCATGATTGTAAGCATTAGAATAAATAGAATTAACTTGAGAGTAAAATTCTTTCAAGTCAGCAATTACTCCTTCCATCATCCTGCGTTTATCATTAGGGAACTGAACTATTGGTAATTTATTGGGAACCGAATTCCACAATTGAGAAAAAGCCCTATTGAATTCGTCATTGTTTATTTTCTTTGATATTTCATCCCCAATCGCTTTGGATTGCTTAAATTCCTTATCTAATCCCTTATAATCGTGCTTAACAAATTCTTCAATTTCCTCAATTTCTTTTGTTCGTGGCTTTAATTAAAATAAATTAATAATTTAGGTAAAATTTCAAAAAAAATTATATTTTAGTAGGGACAATGTCAATGTTTTTTAACTGGCAAAGGAGAGTGCCTGGCGTGTCCTTTGTGAGACTCTTTTTTGTGAGAGACTTCTTTGATCTGTGTAGGATGACAGAATTTAAAATGAAGAGAAAACACGAGAGGCACAAAAAAGCCTAGCTCAGTCTGTAAATCATCTGCAAAGTTTCGAAGAAAGCTTAACCAACCTGGTAGCATAGGACTTTATTAGTAGGGTTTTTAGTAGTAGGGTTTCCTAGCTTAGTAATTAAACTTTTGATGTACCCTACTATTAGATACAAAGATCTCTCGTATTTTACCCAAATCTTGGCAAACGTTTGATTAGTAAGTTGTCTATGCATTCGGAGGTGAGCTCATTAATAATTTATAATCTCATTCGAGTGAGATTATTAAATATTGTTATTACATCAATGATGTGATAAATACCTTTGCAACAGCCTCTTCAAATCCTGCAAAACTCAAGTCTGTCAGATGATTTATCCAACGTTCTATTCCAATATCAAGTACGTCGTTTATATCGTTCGCTGCGTTTTCGTACAAGGATTTTAGATAGTTTATATATTCCGAAGCAAGCTCATGTAAGGCTTCTCCTTTAATAACATCAGATTCTTTATCCATAGATTTGTAAGAATTATGTCGAAATCCAATGAGAAACTCCGTCATAATTTGTCGCAAAACTTTGTTGACAGTTCTACGAAGATTGAGAAACTCGGGATGTAAAGAATCTTCCAATTTCTGAGGCGCAACCTCATTCTGAGGCCCAAGTTCATTGGTAAGTTGGTCTAAAATTGATATAGCTAAGGTTGGGCAATACTAAAGGGACACACTTGTGGCTAAAAATATTATTAGCCTATAATGAGGTGTATTATTAGCCTATAATGAGGATAAGGGATATCACAATGAAGATTTCCCGCCGATTTATGTTCAAATGTACATAAAGAAACTAGCTTAAATTGAGGTATGTCTAATCTTTGGACATATGTTAATCTCTATTATGATTCTTAATCAATTTTCTAAATAAAAATCAACCAAAATAGTTTTGATTTTGAGGTGGATTATAGTAGGGGACAATTGGCAGTTGTTGATGACTCCAAGATGCCTGTACAGGCTGATGACTATGCTGCAAACCTTTAAATAAGGTCAAATGATAAAGCATGTTTTTGAGATTGTAATTTTTACCTAAGTATGGGTTATGTTGAGTTTGACCTTGATTCTGAACTACCATTTGTAAAGGATTCTGATGTGGATACCCAGTAGAATGGGGAGAGTTGTGTTGAGCTTAAAATAATAAATTAGAGCAATTATAAGCAAAATTATGGCAACGAGTGATACCTGTGGGCGTTGCAAGGTAATTGGGTTGTCCTCCAAAATCTATCAAATCACCTTTTTTTGCTGATTCCTGCTCGACTGGCACTATGGACAAATTCTCATGATGTGATGCTTCTGTATGATTTGAGGATTCAGGAATATTCAAATTCTAAAATTTATTAATAAAGCAGTAATTAACAGTTGACCTAGAAATTTATTACTATACTGAGGACAAACTCAATATCTTTCCAACGAAGAATGTACAAAAATTTGCATAATTGTAGTTAGTCTTCAGAGCATTTAATAGCGAGGTGGGCCCGATACGTCAGTATAGGAAAGTTCGGAGTCAATATTTGTAAGGGTTACAGAGTATTGGTCAGTGTCAACCCGTATTATGCTTTTAGATTTTACTGACCGCTTTTTCCACAAGCCAAAAAGCTTTAAGATGTTTAAATAAAGCATTGTAATTCTCGGGGGTTTTATTTTCTTTCAACTTTTTTAGCGCTTCTTCCAGACTTTTAACTGCTCGAGGAGTCGGATCTGGCAGAAATGGATTGGTTTGAACAATAAAATTCGTGGTTGTATCCATTTCCGGAAGTTTTATTTGCTCTTGCGCTTTCAAAAATTCGTTGAGAATTTTTATAAATTCCTCGACTGATTCAGCAGGTTCTGTAGAACGTTCTTTTTCAAAAATTTCTATACGATTCTTAATTTGTTCATCAGTACCTAAAGGTGTTGATATATTAGTTAATCTTCTTAACTCTTGGGGATAAGAATTTAAACTTGAACAGTGCTTTCGGTAACGAGTATACCGTATATGCTCGAATAATCACCCTCTCTGAAATAATTGCCCTCTTTAATAATTAGAGGGATAATTAGAGGGTTTATAATAATATATATCAAAAAAATCATTGCCAATTTTAATTATTGAACCAGTTTATTAATCATTATCAAAAATAAATCGATTCCCTCCTTTATTTGTTGAGATATACCCCAAATTTGGCACCTCCTCTCGAATAATTACCCCCTTCAGCGAGAGGGGTAATTATAAATAATAATATTATCATAATAATAATATTATTATTATTATACCCCCTTCAGTGAAATGTAACATTAGAATAAATATGAAATTATTCCAATTTAAATTATAGCATACCATCAAATTCAAGAGTTGGTTCCAATAATGTTTTAAATTTTTCTTCAGTTGTTTTAATCAGTTTAATTTTTTGGTGTTCCAATTCAGCTTCAGCTGGATGTTGAGAGTGATGGGGAGTATGTGGCCCCATTACCACACAACATTGCATGAGCAAAAACAAGGCAAACATCATTGATGGATGCCAGCGATTTAATGATAAACGAATTATCATTGTTTTGAGGAAAATCTCCTGTAGACAAACAAAATAATAAATTTAATAAAATTAAAATTAAATATATTTTAAAATTAAATCTTGTTTAATAAAAAATGCCCTTTCAATAAGGCATTAAACGAGAGGAATGAAAGAGATTAATGAAGAGAGTGAGGATGTGAGGATAAAAAGCGAGGATAAAAAATGCCCTTTCAATAAGGCATTAAACGAGAGGAATGAAGGAGTTTAATGAAGAGAGAGAGGGTGAGGATAAAAAGCGAGGATAAAAAATGCCCTTTCAATAAGGCATTAAACGAGAGGAATGAAAGAGATTAATGAAGAGAGAGAGAAAGAGTTAAATGATGAGAGAGTGAAGATGCCCTCAGTCATGAGTCTTAAACATTGAATAAATGCCATATGATTAAATGCCATATGATTTGCCTTATAGGGGAGAGAAAGAGAGAGAAATGGAGTTTGTAGTTAGAGAAAAGAATATGCCCGATTAATTGATTTTTTATTTTAAAATTTAAAAAAAAAATTAAAAAATTAGAAGAAAACTTTAAACATTAGGCTAGAACTATGAGATAAAATACACCGCAAAATGGAATGCGCTTTCATAAAACATACATATCTTAAGTACGAGAGATCTCTTTGTGTTGAGAGACGATAGCAGGATATCTCTCTCTCTTTTTTTGTATTTAGATGTGTTATTTTCGTTGGGTTAGTATGTAGATTCGGGTTCGGTTAACCGAAGAATATGGTGAAACAACACCTCGAGTTTAGAATGTATTTTATTGTGAAGCCTGATATTACTAGATACTTTAATATTTTTTGAAAACCGGACAGGTTTAGTCTTTTTCAGGCCAAAATCCGATGCCGACTCGATCTTTCGAAACGGGCCGGGCCCCCAATCCTAATTATGAGTGATACCTTAAGAGTTTGTGAATTAAACTCCAGCACTAATCAACTTTAAGAAACATATTCAAAACAGAAGCATGATATATTTTTGATCAAGCTTCCTCCTATTAACACTTTAAAAACCTTTGAAGAACAAGGTGTCATATCTCTTCATTTTTCAGCGCCGCAGGTGAAAATTTTTAGAATATTGGAAGGTCTAGTTGCCAGATTTCTCATTTTTTAAAGCGCCGCATAACCGTATTATTATTTTTAAAGGGATTTTAAAAGTTAATACAGAAAATTTAAAATCTTCTCTTAACTCACAACTATGATACTTTCTAATGTCTATAAACCTTAAGAATTTTTTATAGGCCTAACTACTCCCGGCTAAATTGACACTAATTAGTAAAGCATTAATAAACCCCGCTCCGAAACTACACAATTAAATTTTATAACTTATTAAAAATTTTTCAAATTAATTTTTTTTTAATTAATTAATAAATAATGCCCTTTTCATAAGGCATTAGACGAGAGGAATGGAGGGGGGGGGAGCGGGGTGATTAAGCAAGAGTTGCTTGCCCATATGTTTTACATGTCGAATAAACAATTCCACATGATTAATTGCCATATGATTTGCCTTGTTAGGGGAAGGGAAGAGAGTGAGTGAAAGGGAGAGTTAACAAAAAAGGGAGTTTATTGAATTTAAAAGGATAGAGAATGAGGGGAAGACTGCTCGAGTAATTGATTTTTAATTTGGCAATTTAAAAAAAAATTTAAAGGGTAAAAAGAAGAAAAACTTTAAATAATACAACAAAACATCGGCATGAGGTTTAATATACCGTAATTTAGGAGCATTTTTTACAAAATTTTGTTGGCCTTTTAAAGATACCTTCATGTCTCTCTCGTTTTAAACCTTGCTCTTGAACCTATCCTCATGATATTTTTATTACCCTCTTCTTAAAACATAATGATACTCTTCATTGAAAAGAGGGTGATGATGTTTTATAAGGATATTCTCTTTTAAAATCTTGGTTATTGTCAACTGCAAGGATTTAAAATTTTTTTGGATGCCGTATTTCTTCAAATAGAAGCACGTTCTATTTTCCGATCCTCTCTTAAGTTGTGCTTCTATTAGAGACTGTGCTTCAATTGGAGACCGTGCTTCAATTAGAAGAAATCCGGTATTTAAGATTACATCAAATTTATAATTCTGGCTCTTTATAAGATACGATTTTCAGTTAATGAAGGTATTATTTTTTGGGCCAGAAATGTTATCTAGATTTAAATATTATTTTTTTTGAAATAAATTTTTAAGTTTAAATATATAGTAAATCAGAACCGGATATGCTATAAATAAAATTTATTTTAAAATTATTTTCACAATTATATTAAATATATTTGCACTTTTATTAATTTTAAAATATTTTTATTTAAATTTTTAAATAAAATTTCCCAATAAATTTCCCGACAAATAAAGTTAATTCACATGATGTTTTTCCTATTAACCTTGTGAATTCCTTTAAAATAAAATTATGAAATTATTTTTACTTGCACTTTTAAAAGTGCAAATAATATTCCCTTTTAAGATGCTCAAAGAAAGGGCAAAATTTCATATTTAAAATTTATTTATTCATTAAAATTATTCAAAATTAAATATTTAATTTAATTAAATGCGTTTCTTATTGCTGTATATCCTCCTTTATGTATGTATTCTGGATGTTTCAAATTGCACAAATGAACAGGACGATTGGCAAAATGAACAACGGAAGCGTCAAAAGATGGGAGATCAACAATATTTAACTCTTGGTTATGGTCAACATCAAGGGGGTTATGGAGCACAAAGGCAAGGACATACTCCAAACCTCCACGGAAATCAAACGATAAACCTTTTGCCTGATCATTTAAATCAGAATAGAAATGAGTTGACAAATCCCGTGGATTTGTCTCAAAAAGGAAAGCGGCCTCTACAAAATCCCCCTCAAACCCAACTGCATCAATTCATCAAAGTAAAACAGGAACCGGGAGAAACTGAATATATGGGGCAACAACCTAAACAACAAGTTCAACAAGTAAAGGAAAAACAACCTCGAGTAACTATTCATCTTGACGATAGTTCAGACGATTCTTTAGAATTATTAGATGGAAAGGGTAACAAAGCGCAAGTTCCTAATGAAGGAAAAAATAATTTTGCGATGCTAAATATTGGAAATATTCAACAACCTATTGGAACTCAACAACAACCTCCAAGTTTCTCTGGATCAAAAAGAAAACAATATAGTAGCCAGAGACGAATTGTTACAACTATTAGTGTGAATAAACAACATTTTACCGACGTGGTTCAACATTGTAAGAAATTACTTTTTGAGGAAATATAGATTGTATGAGTTTCTAAGTTATACAGATAGAATGGAGGATAGTGAGGGGAATCGGCTGGAAACTTAGCCTTAGACCGTAAACCAGAATTGTAGAATTAAAGGAATTATTAGTTATTTCTAAATAATCATGAGGGTAAGGAGATATCGAGCTGAAAACATATGATGAGACTTGAGACAGAATTAAGATTGAGGGAAATCTGAGTTGAGTTCGGGTTGAGAAGGTTAATTAACCTGGCAGTGTGACATGGATACATGACAGGGATGGAAAGATGTTGAAGATGTTAGGCTATGACTCTTCCCTGAATATGAGATAGAAGGAAATTCGAGTCGATTTCGATAATGAAAGATAGATCCGGAAGATTTATAAATCGTCTGTGGAATTGTTAGATATCTATAAGTTGCTAAACTATTGTCAAACTCTTGATTTTTGTATTAATCTAATTTTAATTTAGTAACAAGCCGTGAAGCTCAAAACAGTAAGAATTTTAACTATAATTTATTAAATTTATTTAATTAAAATTTTATTTGGAAGTGGTCCGAGTTGGTTTATAATTCGGATTATCTTAAAATAATAATTTTTATTAACAGATAAATAATTTTTATTAACAGAAATGCAACAGCATAAACAATTTATGGAAAGTAAAAATCAAAATTTTGATGAAAATTTGTATATGACAAATCTAGCTTATAAAAACTGGATAGAAGATTCAATGCAAAAAGAAGAAATGAAAAAAATTAAAAATTTTATGCAAAATAAAGGTCTAAAGTTTGAAGAAAGTTTGTATATGTCCAATCTCGACTATAGAAATGCGATATATAGAATGATGCAAAATGATGTTGATTTAGCACTGAGTATCTCGAGCTCAAGAGGTTGAGATTTAAACTACCGTATTTTCCCGATTATTTCCCCATTTTCATTAATTCCAGGGATTTTTTTTAATTTGTAGGTTCATTAATGCCAGGGTTTTTATTTTTTTATCCATCAATTCCATGGTCTACACCTTTTCTCTTTCTCCGGAAATTATTTCTCTCTTCAAATCGTCTGTGTTTTTGATCACTCTCTAGCAAAAAATGGATTAAAGCAGGGAGATCAGGGACAACAAGGCTGACGCCTTCACTGACCTTAATACAATATACTATAGAACAACTGCTAGGGACGGGTTAAAGCATTAATTCTCCGGCCTATGCAAAACCGAGTAATTGAAGTAGAATAATTCCTCTCCCTCCACTGATTTTCAATCCCACAGATGTCTTTGAATATTAAGTCCCCATGGTAATATGTAACTATGTATTAGTTGGGTATATATAAAATTCTACTAAAGAAATTTTAGACTTCAGCAATGCTTTGCCTCAAGCTGGACATTCAAATCATGAACAGCATCCTTCCTTTCAACAGCAACAAGTAAGAAATGTCAATACACATCGAGAACTTTATCCTGCCCTTCAATGGCAACTAGGAACAACCGTCAATACTCAGCGTGAACAGCATCCGGCACTTCAACAGCAACAAGAAAGTTTTGTCAATCCTCATCAGTATATACAAAATCTGGGTTCTACACAGGGACAAGATAGCTCAGGAATTGGTTCGAAATCAATAAATCAACCATCTGTTTTGAACGCAACAGCACATCAATATGTTGATTATCTTCGAGGGCTAAATCCACAATATTCATCTCAACAAACACATAATCAAAATTTAAACAATCAAAATGTTCAACACCAATTTAATGTTTCAATGAATCCTTTAAGCAATCATCACCCTGCGAATCATCAATCAAATTTGGATAATTATAATAGATCTTTAGGTGATATTATATTAATTATTATGGTGTTTATCTTATACAACTTCGAGGGAAAATCACAATTTATGATCCCAATTTATGAACCCTTGGAGTAAAAGTGTACAATATTAGTGGTATTCCTAGGCAACTTTTCACCCCTGATCAACATTCTGAAAAATATATCTCAAAATGATAAATTTTTAACGTGAAACCCAGGATAGACATTTATGACCTGACTGCGGTGTGTTCTAGGAATAAAAGAATACAGACTTTATCACAACGACTATATACAATAGTAACATAGAATAGGAACATGGCTAATGCCGAATATGTGCAACGTAGGCTCTTTTGAATGAGCTATCATTCAAAAAAAAAACGAATTTTTCACACCAAAATTAGCTTACTCCCCTTATGGTTTTCGGTATTCGGAGACCTATATCCTGGTCTACAATCATCTCCGGAAAAAAGTGGTACCGTTTGACTCAACTTATCGAGTCTTATCGAACGGTATGGGTCATATATCGAAACATTACCACCGGTATAATATACTAACGCCGGAATATTATTATTATTATAGAGCAAGAACATGTTCGTCAATATTCCATTATTCCATCAAGCTCTAATATTGTCAATAATAATCCTGAGGGTAAATTTCTTATTTAAAATAATTGTGATAATTTTTTAACAGATGAAAATACTGAAGGGCAAACATTTGATTATTTCAATTTTCATAAATAAAATTAAATAATGGAAGTTTTTTATGAAAAATTTTTGAAAGTAAATGATAATTTAAAGAATTTTATGTTTAAATTTTTTTATTTTTTAATTACAAAATCGTTATTTCATTGTTTCAAAATTTTCTTCTAGAAAAACGGAAATAACGCAAATCTAATACTAAGTTGTTATTTGATCAAATTACTTTATTAAGAAATCTAGAACAGACTTTAAATTTTTTTATTTCTCAATCGCCATATGTTATATCTTTTAAAATTTGATGACATAAGATTCAAATTTGCGAAACTAATTGTATATTCTATGAAGGGGACTGGGCCATTAGGGCGCGGGGCCATTAGGGCGCGAGCTTATAAAACAGTGAGTTGCTTATCAAAAAAGATAAAATTTTGCAATAATAACTCTCATGCCTATATCTATGTTCTCCAAAAATTTCAGAATCTTTGATCAAGAATTTCTGAAATTGTGGCCAAAAATGTTGATTTTCCGAAAAAACCCTAATTTTTCGCGGTTTATCGACTATAACTTCAGAAATATTCGATGAAAAATTCTGAAATTTCTGGGGGAGGTAGTCTAGGATGTTAAAGAAATTTCAGAAAAATTTTATAAATTTCGGTTTCGCCTAAGTGTCAGTTTCCAGTGCTGGCGCCCTAATGGCCCCGCGCCCTTATGACCCCAACCCCTATGAAGAACTGACAGTTCTTCATCAAATATAACCATGATTTTCCATGGTTCCAACTTTTTATAAATTTTGTTTAAATTCGGTCAGTAGATATACACGTGGTCAAAGAAATGTATGAAATTTTTGGTGACAGTTCGAGAGTGTCTCGTCCAAGAGGTTGACCAATAACTTCATTAGATCGTGCCAGATGGCTAAACTTTGCTAGCTTTTTCACTGTCTTTTGGGAATTTAAATTTATTATGATCTATGTTAACCAATGTTAATAGAATACCCCAGCATATGTGGACTTCAGTAATACTCTCTTAAATTTTTTATCAAACTATTTTTAAAACTAAAGTACAAAATAAATAAATATTTAATTTAAAAATTAATTAATTAACACAAATCGTTTTTCATTGTTCAATTTTTCTTCAACCAAGCTAAATTTAATACTAGCGTACTCAAGAATCAAGTTAGCAATTTCCTCTACATAATTCTTGCAATATTCGTTTAAACTAAATTTAATAGATTCTTTTTTGTATAATTCATCAATGCGGGCACAAAATTCCTTGGCGTATAAAACATGCATTAATCCTTTGTTTATAGCTTCTTTTACTAATTTGAATCGAGTTTGATACTTAATATATTTAAAAAATTATTTAAAATTTTATTTTATTTTTATAATATCTTGATAGATTTATAAGTAAATGATAAGCACCTTTAAGAAGGGCTACTAATTTTTAAAAATACGGTAGATCCTCAAGACTTTCTAATATATATGTCTATGTTCCTTTAATGTTTTCTACCAGTTATTGTAAAGTTTTCTCTAGTTTTCTCTACCATAATTTTCCTTAGGTAATCAACTGATAGGTTGACAATTTGGCTCGAATAAGAAAAGAAGCCTATGTACATGTTTATGCAGACAGTCATTTGCAGACATGTTGGCCGCAATCTGGACATCAACCTTTTCTACATATTCTATTAATGTACCCCTTGGTCCCAAGACCTTCTTAAAAGCGCGAAATAAAACGGAAGACTAAAGTATAAGGCCGAAAAATGCGGAAGTGGATCAAAGACGAATGGGATCCTATCCTAGTCTATTCTCTTCTTCTACAAACTTGGATAAATACTTCCAGTTTCTTCTAAGTATTCCATGTTCTTCATTTTCCTATTGGATTTCTAGCTCAAGTTCTTATTTTCTAGCTTCAGGTTCCTATTTTCAAGATACTTTTCCAACCTCCCACCTTAATTTCATGTTTGGAAAAAATGAGAAAATTGACTCTAGTCTGACACGTCCTAATAAATTAAAAAAATTAAAGTCGCAAACCTTTTCCTTTTCCTTCCCCCATTTAATCCTAGCATCATGATAATTATCAACTGAATTACGCATCTTTCTAAGTTTACTAAACAATTTCATTCTAAATCGTTTTAATGACGCAATATTGGTAAAATGCTTAATAATTTTGGAATTTTGTTTTTCCTTCATAATTTCAATAAAATTTAATAGAATTTTTGAATTTTCTTCGTTAAAGAAAAGATTTTCGGTAATTAAAATTAACTGATAGAAATTTGTTGATTTATGGTAAAGCTGATACAATTCCTCATTGCTTTTAAACACAAAATTGTTGAATTCTTTCAAATCATGATTGTAAATAAATGGTTCGATATCGGGGATGTGAAATTCAGGTTCAACTGCAACTGGATTATTATGATTAATAGATGTGACATGAGTTATGGAACAAATGATAGGAAAGATTAGAAACTATATTAAACTAACTCATAATTTTTCTTCTAAGGTATACGGTAAGGGAATGAGAGAGAAATTCGGTTTTGACTAAGGGAAAGATACATAATGTTGGTCTGGAGGCCATTTAGTCTCCGAATCAGAATATTTTTGGTAACTAGAAACTAGTTTAATAGTGTATACGGGCAGATATCATTCGGCATTTATCAGTAGCAGGGCTGTGCGCCAAAATTTTCGCGTGGCGCGTTAAACGCCAATTTTTCAAATTTTAAAAACACGCCAAACGCAAAACGCCAAAAATCGGCCAAAATTAACGCCAAAACGCCAAACGCCAGACGCAAACGCCAAAATTTTTAGAGTCTATAAAGACTCAAAAACCTCTTTTCATCTCATTTTAGCGCCGCAGGCGAAATTTTTTCATTTTCAAGATTCTCAGAAGCTAGAATTCATCCTTTTTTACCGCCGGATGCGAAAATTTTGAAGAGTTTTTGAAAATTTTTTGAATTAAGTAAGACCAGGAAGCAGGCCCTAGCCAATTGGGGAGAATTCCTATCTCCCGAAATGAGTAAAGGAAAAAATTTGGGTAGAACCCCGTGAGATTAAGGTGGATATGAAGACAAGAAGTGGGTAATAAGAATAACATAGGTCTTGAAGAGAGTAAATGGTTGATGATGAAGTATTAGTTTTAGATAAGACCATGATGGAAGTATTAGTTTAAGATAAGGGCTTCCTCCTTTAAGCGCCGCAGGCGAAAATTTTGGAAGACTGTAAGCAGAAAAATTTCCTTTCTCGATCGTCCCTTCTACCAATTATTTTAAAAAATTTTCATCATTGGGGGTGTATATTTTTGGCGTTTGGCGCGCCAAAATCGGAAAATCACGCCAAACGCAAAACGCCAAAAATCGGCCAAAATTAACGCCAAAACGCAAAACGCCAAACGCCATGACGCACAGCCCTGATCAGTAGGTGCCATTTCGCAACAGAACCTTAACAGAATTGGCGAAACAATTTATAATACTAAGATGCCTAGCTGAGTTTCAATTACGATAATAATACCTAGATTCATTATGTTTAGAGATATTTTTTAGAGAGAGGTTCTCATGTTTTTAAGGTAGAGCTTATAGCAGAGTAATCTAACAATCAGTTAGGCTCTCAACATACCTTATGATATTTTAGTTTATTTGGAATTTATTGTTTAATTAATTAAATAATTACCCAAATCATTATTTGGATCATCACCAACTTTCTCCTTATTCTCTTTATTCTTCTCTGAATTTTCTTGAATTTTATTAGAATGACTAGGCTCGCCTTTAATTTTCTTTTCCTCTTCAATTTCAACATTTTTATTCACTTCTGATTTTTCCTGATCATTATTTTGAATTGGTTCATTACCATTTTCATTATTCTCCAAATCATCTTCCAAATTACCCAAAGCAATATCCAGTAGTGAACGTTTACTAGATGCTGCCTCGTTGGTAATACCTTCCTCGTCTTCATGAATTACGTTCAAAGGAAAGCGAAATGAAGCCGATCCCGATTTTAGCTCATTCTCTAAATTGCTAAACAAATCGTCTTCACCAATATTATTCGAATCATCCTCCCCTTGATTCATCATTTCAGCTTCTTTTTCAGGTTCTTCTTCAGTAATCACTTCCTTCCCCTTCTCCTTGATACTCTTTTTTTTTAACAAATTTTTAAATTTATTGGTAATTTTGCCTGAATTCTTTTTGGAAAATTTTTCTCCATTTTTATCATCCGTTGATCCCGCACTTCCCCCAATGCCATAATCTTGAAGTTCATTGTTTTCCGATAATATTTTATGGAAAATTGCATCAGTGTCTTTCAAGCGTTTCAAAAGCTTGTCACTCTCTGTGGGTTCAGGATTTTTAGATTTTAAATGATGCCGATTGAACATGAATTTGGCTTTATTCCATTTACTAGTGACTTGATTTGATCTCTCAATCAGCTGGATTAAAAGGAATAGAGTTGAAATCCAAAATAAAAATTTATCCATTATATGTCTAAGAATATAGTGAGATTGTGATAGTTTCGTGTTCTTCCAGGTTTTACTAGTCCCTGATAAAGATCTACATAGACCTCGACTAAGACATTTATTTCCCTGACAAACGAAAAATCTAAGACATGTCTTGATTGCTGGCTCAAGATCTAGTGTTTAAGACGTCTAGGATTTGAACCCCACAGAAGCCATATTTATCTCAAGGGTATAACTTAATTTTATGTAACTGAATCTTGTTATGTATGTTTCACAACATCTAGACGAACTTAAGTTAATCATACTAAGGTTACGACCTTTAAATCAAGCTAGGGGCGTCCTTATTGTCTAGTGTCTAATATTGTGAAATTTAGTCTAGGAATCTAGAGCGGACAATAAATATTTCATTTATTATTTTTAAATTTAATAAAAGAATTAAAAAATAAAATAGGTAGTTAGTGTAGACGGCGGATGTAATTTCATTTCCTCTTGTCAAATGAATGTATTTCTCCTGATGAAATCAAATGGCTTTATGAAAGACAGTCAAAATATATAGCCAAAAATGGATATATGGAATCGATTGAAGAGTCCTTTTATTGCCGCAAAGGCAATGTTGTTTTAGCTATAGCCGATAAATAAATTTTAAAAGGGTTGCCGATTTTATTTAAAATTTTTTATTTTTATAAGAGTTAATGAAGGATTTTATATAAAAATTAATAAAAATATATTAAAATCCTAGAAAATTAATAAAGGCTCACAATCTTCTAAATCTTTAATAAATTCTAATGAGCCTACTCAAATCTTCAATAAATCTGAGTAGGCTAATTAGAATCCATTTTCCTGACTAAATTTGATCTGAATTAACCTGAAGATACCGTACGTCCGTAAATTATACGACCACTTGTATTGTATTTCATATCTTATCTTCAATATGATATTTCCGCTTCATTTCTTATTTATATTAATTATTAATGTATTATAAACCTCTAGGCAAAATTTCATTTAAATATTCTGAAACATCCCTCAGAAAACTAAATTCAATTAAAAGTAGTCCCTCGATTCATCATCCCTCGATTCAGTATCAGTTGAAGTTTGGATATTTATAACTTAGATTTTTCTAAGTATTTTAGACATTCTTTTTTTTACAGAAATCCTTTATGCATACGTTTAAAATAAATCAAGAAATTGTCATATAAAAAATAATCAAAAATCAAAATGCCTTTTACTGTTACTTTGAAGGGGGTCAATAAAATTTGGACATATCAAGGAGCTTAATGAAGGTTCAGGGTCATAGTTTTGTATGTTAGGGACTATATACAATCGTGTCGGGTTAACTCAAGGAACGGACAAGTCAAGGAACGACAAATCAAGAAAAAGACAAATCAAGGAACAGACACGTCAAGTAAAAGACAGGGTTGGTCTTTGAGTTAGCCCCCACCCATATACAATCATGTTTGTGGGGATGGATGTTTTGAGGTAACGTATATGCTCAAATATGCTTGCTATAATAATTTTAGAAGGCGAGAAATTCAAAGAGAGATTCAAAATTTCTCTAGCGAGAAATTCAAACAATAAATATTTACACAGTGTAATTATTTGAGCATATACGGTAACATGGTTTCAATAAAACATTCGGTGGCAAAAGTTTTTTAAAGAATCATCCTTAGATTTATGATTCACTTTTAAACAAATCACTTAAAGTGGTCTCTGGTGTTTTAATCAAATCTCCCAGTGAGATTAACGGGGTTTGCTTCTCTGGTTTATCATGCATATTAAGCAAGTTTCCCTGTACTGGCAATTTCAAAGGCCAACCTCTCAACGGAGCGATCTGGTTATTTGTTGTTCGTTCTTTATCTGATTTCTTATAAAACAGAGATTTGATGTTTGACTTATGTCCAATTTGTTTTTTCGACTTTTCATCTTTTGATAAATCTCCCAGAGATACAGTTCGATCGAATTTTTTGTCACTTTGTTTTGAATGAACGAGAGGATTGATAACTAAAAATTATATTGAGAATAGAAATTTTGACTTATGTATTTTTTATGAAAAGGATTTATTTTTTTATTTTTTTTCATTTCTAGTATCATTCAGCGATATTTTATATATCCTCTTAGGAGAAGTAGAATATATCGTTTAATATCTTCAATCTTCATCCTTTCAGGTTCTATAACGAGTTGGGAAGAGGTTATTTATACCCTCCCCAAAAGATACCGAGAAAATCGAGAGATTTCTGAGGGAGAGATCTCTCGAGAGTCTCGAGTGAGTCGAGAGATTCTCTCGTGAGAAATCGAAAGAAAATAAAAGATAGCTAGAAAATCGAGAGAAAATCGATAGAAAATCTAGAGTTTTATCTAATCACTCATCGATTAAATACCTGTAGTGGTAATAGCTCGGTTTTATCTAATCCCTCATCAATTTATTACCTGTAGTGACAAATCGAACAACATTACGAGGTAAATTTTTTGCGAGTTCGAAAGATTTTGAACGTTGAAGCTTTTTAAAAGGTTTTTTGTTTTGTGAGTTTACCCCAAATTTGATAACTCCTGTCTCTCCCTTCTCACTCTCCTCCTCGTCATCTAATAGTCCGAGGAGTTTTAAATGATCGGCATTTTCATTTTTATTTTCTTCTTCTTTCATCTTTCTGTTTTGCTCTTCTTCTTCTTTTATTTTCATCTCAAATTTCTTCACTTGTTTATCCGTAATTGTCCCATTTTCAGGAATAGACAGAAGCCTATTTATGTATTTATCCTTTTTCAGGGATTTTATAAACTCGCTTGGTTGATCATCTGTTTGATCATTCTCACTTGCCACAATTATGAAAAAAGTTGGCAGAATAAGAAAAAATAATTCTTTTTTCATTTTTTAAATCTTAACTAAATTCTCGTATTTACTCGATTAATTCCAACACTTCGAAAATTCCCCAAAACATATTAAATGAAGAGGTTTCTTATGATAGTGTATATAAATGCTTGTATCAGCTTAAGTCATGTTGATTATTACTAGCCTAGTTTTCCCATAATTTTCTTCGTTTGTTAAACTCAAACTTCCATTTAAGTGTCATTCAAACCTACTAAATCGAGGACAACCGGAGACGGTTTTAAAGAAATAATAACATCAATCGGAGAAAGGCAACAGCCTCATATTTTGTGGACCGCTTGGACTATCTTTTGTGATTAACCCATAATAGAATCATAAATTAGTTAAAAATTGGAGTCATGCTAATTTATAAGATCCTCCTTTGCAATCTTTTAAAGTTTTTAACTTTTCATGGCCCATCAGGCACACACTGTCTTGGAAGCCCATCAGACCCCTGACTTCATGAATTCTTGAAAATTTAACTTATAAAATAAATTTATTTCTCCTTCTCCTCTTTTGGATAATTCCCATCATAGGAAAGTGTCGAAAAATAATTTCAAGGGGAATTACTCGAGTTATAGACTAACATTATTAATTAAAAAAAATTAAATTTTATATTTTATTTAAATTAATTAAAATAAATTATTGGTAGTGAAGTAAATTAATTGTTTAAATTTTTAAAGAAATTTAAATTTATTTCCTTGAGCAGCTAGTAAAGCGTCTAGAGAAGCGAGCGTTCATAGTCGACATCCAGGATGTTGGCAAGTGAATGAGGAGAGGAGTGAGAGCAAACATTTAAAATAGAGTCCACACCTATAGAAGTGAATTGCGCGTTTAAGGGGATAGAAGAGACCTCGTTTAAGAGATCTCTGTCTCTTAAGAGAGAGAGAGAGAGAGATAGGAGGAAGAAGAGGAAGGAGGAGGAGGAGGAAGTTGAGAAGGAAGCTGATGAAGAAGCCAGTCTAAAGCATCGTTTAATAGGAAATATTGAGAGGGCTGCGGAGATTTTACGTTACGCTCTCCAAGATAGTCGATTCTCTAAAGCGCCCAAGTAATGCGTTTTCTATATATGCGAGCGTTTCTTGTGAGGGAGGAGGAAGTTGAGGAGGAAGAAGAGGAAGGAGGAAGAGGAGAAAGAAGCGCATTGCGCGTTTAAGGGGATAGAAGAGAGAGAGAGTGGACGAAGAAGAGAGAAGAGGAAGAAGGAAGTCGAGGAGGAAGCTGAGGAGGAAGCCAGTCTAAAGCATCGTTGAATAGGAAATATTGAGAGGGTTGCGGAGATTTTAAGCTACGCTCTCCAAGATAGTCGATTTCTCTAAATCGCCCATGTAAAGCGCTTTCTATATATGCGAGCGTTTCTTGTGAGGGAGGAGGAAGTTGAGGAGGAAGAGAAGGAGGAAGCTGAGAAAGAAGCGCCTTGCGCGTTTAAGGGGATAGAAGAGGAAGAGTGAGGAGGAAGAAGAGACAGGAGGAGGAGGAGGAGGAGGAAGCTGAGAAGGAAGCTGGTGAGGAAGCCAGTCTAAAGCATCGTTGAATAGGGAATATTGAGAGGGTTGCGGAGATGTGACGCTCCGCTCTACAAGATAGTCGATTTCTCTAAAGCGCCCTTGTAAAGCGCTTTCTATATATGCGAGCGTTTCTTTTATCGATTGGATTTTGAATATCCTTTTATAAAGTCAAAAATTTGAAAATTTCAACAAATTATAAAGTTTTGCTTGACAAGAAAAACTGAAATAACATGGAAATCTTTAGAGAATCTAAAAGAATTACTCGAAAGAAATCTCTTAAATTATAAACTTAATAGTCCAATCCTTTACGGATGCCAACGATTTATCTTTTAGCCTTCGTTGAAATTAATGTTATAAATTTATACTTCATTTAGATCATACTTTTATGCTAAAACTAAAAATGACAAAATAAACGGATCATGTTAAAAATCTTTTGTACTTTGCCGTTAATCGACCGCGAACTGAGAGTCAACCGAATCTGATCGGTTATAACTTTTTGATGCTTGATCCAATACGAATTAATTTTATATCTTTCGAAAGGCATCGATAACCACTATATTTTTTCTAATAGGATAGATTCTGACCAATCATTAAAAAGTCATAACCAGATAGATCTAGTTATCTGATGTTTTTCAAATTTATCGAGTTATATCTTTCTAATAAGTGATCAGACCTGCTATACTCTTAAAAAATATCCCTTATATCCTCTTATCGATGAAATTTGGCAGACAGATAGATTATACCTCTTATCGAGGGCTTTCAAATGATATGAATTCATTTGTAGAAGATTAATTATCAAAGAGTTAACCGATCAAATTCGTTGACACTTACAAAGGAGAGCTGTCAGGTGTCCGTGGAACTTCGGGATGAAATTTGGCAGACATATAGATCATACCCTACTTTAGTTATGAAATTTGCACCATTTTCGCTGCGGGGCATCGTGGACCGAGTTATAAGTAAGCCCCCAAAGTTTGCGGCTGATTAGCGTAAAACTCTCAAATCTTTTTTAGGTTACATTTAACCTCTAATCTACTTTAAAATCTTAGATTTTTTGTCTTGTTTTGGTTTCAAATCTTTTTTATATCTACATGTGTTCTCACACCAACTTCAAATCAGCTTCAACTCTTTTCAATCATACTTTAGTTTCTCATTCTTCATCATTTCCCTCCTCATCATCATATTCTTCTTCTCCTGCTTCTCCTTCAACTTCTTTATCATCGCCAGCATTATCTGTAAAAATTTATTAAATATCAATATATGTGTAATTCATATCAATATATGTATAAAGCTTTCCCTCAGAAAACTCCCAAAATTCTAATGTAAGAATCACTCAAAAATTAACTCAAATTTAATCAAACTTTCTTAATTTTTAATCTCCGCCCATTCTTATAGTTTATTGCTCAAAAAAGGTGTGTTTTGTTATGGTTTATTTTTAGTCTTATAATCTTTTGGATAATTAACAATTTCATGCGCTCTATTAATTTCACAATAAAAAATAGTGATCTCAATCACATATCGCACCGTAATATAATACCTTCAAAATTCTACCGTACCTTACTAATTTAAATTAATCCGGTGAATATTTTACTTTGAAATTTTATAACTTACAAAGGAGAGGCTTTTGGGTGTCCGTGGGACTTCGGGATGAAATTTGGTAGACAGGTAGATCATACCCTACTTTAGTTGTGAAATTTGCACCGTTTTCGCTGAATGGTACCAGAACCGAGTTATAAGCCCCCAAAGTTTCAGGATCCCCCTCAGTTTTAGCGAGGCCCTAACATTAAAGAGTGGGGGCTAACATTACCGTAAACTTTTTTATTATATGTATGTATATCAAACAGGGTAGATTACTAATTCTAAAAAGTTAAACATATTAAAAATTACATTGCTGCATTCCCTCATCCTTGTTCGTATTGTCTACATCAAATTCGTGAGCTTCACTGAGATGTCTTTTCAAATTCGTCGCTTTGGGAAAAAAACCGTTCGTATTCTTGCATTCATCAATTTTACAGTAAGCCCTTCCATCGTGCAAGTTAAAATAGTTCCAAGCTTCGGATTTTTCTAAAAAATTAAATATCCAATTTTTATTTCATTATAGTACTATTTTAATACATTATAGTTAGGGATCGGATTTGTATTGAAATATATTTTTTTTTCCTGAATATATTATGTCGAGAAAAGCCCAAATATGCCATTAGTTTTTCGATATTATGATTTTGAACAAAGTTACATTTCAATATATTTCAATATTTTGCCAATTTCCCCGTTATTTCAATATTTCGCGCTTTTTTCAAATTATTTCAATATTTTTGCATATTTTTACAAAATTTTGGGATTTTTCATAAATTTTAGGAAAAAAGTGAAGAAATCTAGACGTTTGACAACCAAAATTCTCAAAATTTTCGCCTGCGGCGCTGAAAAGGGGATGTTATGGCCTACAGTGCTGTCAAAATGTGTAAATGACCAAAGGTCCCCATAAAGGCCCATTCCAAAATGCTTCGCCCTTAAAATGTCCCACAGGACAAAACCCGAAATGGCACATTGAGAAAACCCACAAAATGTCCCATCCTCATTTTATCAATCAAAAAATGTCCAAGAGAGTAAAAATACTCGATTTGTCGAGCTATAAAGTCGATTTTAAAAACGTGGTTATTTTTTTTTTGTTAAATTTCAACTTTTTTGGGAGGTTTTCTAGTGAATAAACGATAATTTATTTCAATATTTAGCTAGTTTTTTCCATTTTTTGTCAATATTTTGCCACTTTATTTCAATATTTTATGGCCATATTTTCCGATTTTATTTCAATATAAATCCGATCCCTAATTATAGTATTAAATTTAAAAAATTTAAAATTACTTTTTTGTCTTATTTTCTGTTCCAACTTGGCTACTTCTATCTTTTCCACCAGAGAAAGATGACTTCTCAAATTACCCACCGATTTAGATGACATTTCCTTATTACAGTGATTACAGAAAACTTTACCATTCTCAACCTCAGTAAAATGCTTCCAAATTTCAGAAGAGTTTTCTATAATATGAAATATTCTATTATTGTATTACTAGTAAGATTTTACTTCATACTAATACTTCGAATTATTATTATTAAAATGTCTCGTTATTAGAGTTGTTGCTCAAAAAGAACGATTCGAGCTGGCAAATTTCTGCTCGAAAACTCTAAATTACTCGACTCGAAAAATAAGAGCTTGAGTCGAAAATACTCCTTCGGTAAAAAAAAAGTGAATTTTATCAGCACTTAAGTTTTTCACAGATTTTGCCTGTATTACTCAAAATTCTCATAATTTTAGACGCTAAGAAGGAAGACTTTTCAAGGTCAGGCTTTCTTATGCATCTTATTGTTAGCCTTCTCCCATTAATCTTCAGATATTTTCCCGAATCCTCTTATATGTATCCCACCAAAAATCGTATTTCTTTTTAAGTATCCCCCAAAAAGCTAACATTTTTTAATAAAATAAAATTATGATTAAAATACATTTTTGTATAATGCACTGAGCTTCGGCTCGAATAGAACCACACTACTCCTTATATACTCCACACTACTCCTTATATACTCCACACTACTCCTTATATTCTCCACACTACTCCTTATATTCTCCACACTACTCCTTATATTCTCCACACTACTCCTTATATTCTCCACACTACTCCTTATATACTCCACACTACTCCTTATATTCTCCAAATATTAAAATCAAATTCAATTTAAATTAGACTTACTATTAGTTCTTTTTCTTTTAACATTACCAACAGCATCTAAAATTATTAATTAAATTTAACAGCATGTAAGAATTAGATATGAAGCATTACTTTGTTAGTTTTATGCCTTACATATTCTACCCCAAATTTCCCTGCATAGAAAATTAATGCTGGTTGGCTCCCAACAGCTGAATAACTTTTTACACTAAATGAAGAAGATAAATATCTTATAGCCCAGATCTCCTTTGTTATACATATATCACATGAGAATTATTTTAGGCTTACGTTCCAGACTTTTACCTGATTGCACATTATGCTTTGCCGTAAGTATTACTATTCCATGTTGTAGTAAATGAGTCTGTAAATTCTTTAAATCGTTCGATGCCATAGCCTCTGCGCAATGTTTACAGTAAACATTATTGTCAACCAATGAAAAATGATTCCAAGTTAAAGGAGCTTTTTCTATAATATTATAATTTTTTAAAAGTATAGGTATTTTGTTTGTATTTTCGAGTCAGATCGGTATCGGTTAACTAAAAATCTGATGAAAACAAACGATCATTAGAAATAAAATATATAAGGCAAGGGTTACCCCTTGCCTTATATTGCTTCGCGCCTTCGGCCCTCGCCAGTAAAGTTTAGCCCTGCCTTTACATAGTTTCGGACCTTCGGCGCTCAATAGTAAAGTTTTGCCCTGTCTTTTCATTGCTTCTGGCAAATAAATCTCATTTTACTCAACTTACACACATAGCATGCATCTTACCGTGTTCCTCATGTCCTTGTCCTGCTCTACTGGTCGATCCCAAGTTTCTCTTTCCTTTATCCTTATTAGCACCGCTCTCCAACAAAACGGCGATATTTAGAATAATTAAGAAAAAAATAACAAGATTAGTTAACTTCATCTAAAGATAATTTATTAAACAATATTTATTATATTTCACGAATTTTAGTTAATAAATAAAATTTAGGAATTTATTTAGAAGTTTTATAATTTTGGGGATCGGTGATTTTATCGGTGATGTACAATGCTTTATTTAAATAAAACGATTAATAACGGATTACTAATAGATGCCCGGCATTCTATTTTTCAAACAACTTCCAAAGATGCATTCTTTTAGAGAAATGGAGCGGGGCATTCGATTTAGGTAATACGGTGTAAAATAATTTTTTCTAAATGATTAGAGCGGCAGAGAGCGACATTTATGGAGAGGATTTGTGCAGCTAAAAATTTTTACACGCCTATCAGACGACTGCCCAAGTACAACTACCGACTACCTACCGCCTTGCTATGTACTAACACGTCTATCATTTTTAAGTATACGTCGACTTAGAGGATAAAAAAATCACGAGAATGCCAACATTCATAAAGAGGTATGACAAAATCTATTATTCGATTTTTTATAACACGCATACAAACAACACGGGATTTATTGTTTTTATTAATTAGAATTTTGCACTTTTGTAGTCAAGAAACTTTAATTTGATAAATCGGAAAAGGATTTAATAAAAGACTTAATGAATTATCATTGGAGTAACTAATCTTTTTCTTAGTTCTATCCCGGTCGTCGGGGAAGTGAAGTCTCAGAGCAAAGGAAAAACCCTCTGACGAATAAGGTAAGTTCTCTCTCCTCTCACGGATTTATTAACATTGTTGGAATTGAGAGAGGTTGAGGTTCTATGGCATGAGTTTATGTGAAGAAAGGACATGATTTTTTTCCGTTCAACCATTCAAAATAATTATATGAAAATTAGAGTATAATTTCAGCAGAATCGCTTAGGAGTCCGTATTAGACAAATAGGCATTCATATTAAATTAATTATATTATTTATTAATAACATCCACACCTTTATACATACTTTTTTATATATTATGATTTTTTATATATGATTTTACTGTGATTTTTTATAAATTTATATGATTTTTGATTATTTTTTATACGATTTTTTGATCATAAATGAATTACTATTCTTTATTTTCACGAGAATTATTTTAAACACAAGACTAACTTAAATTTTGCACTTTAATTTTAGCAATAAAAATTCTTGTTAAATTTCACCTAATAATAAAATATTTAAACAGGTAAAAGTTGAAATAACGTAAAAATCTGTCAGCGTTAAGGAATAAGGAATATATTATATTCCTTAACGTTAAGGAATATATATTTCTCAGTGCCTAGAAAAAAAATTTCCCGATTATATAGGCTACGCTTAAAAGATTCCAAACCTCTGTAAATGCATATTTCTCTTTTTTGACTTAGTTTATATCATATGAAGTTCTGATCGGACGAAGTTTTGTTAGGACGTATTTTTGACATTTTAAGTTTTGTTTAAGTGAGTTTTGTCATTCGAAGTTTTGTCATTCCTTTTTTACGTTTTATTTGTAACAAAAATTGAATGATAATTTGTTGAATATCTGAACCATCCAATTTAACTGGGTTGCCGGATTCTTTGAACATTATGAAACCTTTTTCTGTTAATGCACTTTCATATCAGTAACGGATTTACAATTACAGGTTTATTTTTTACAATTGAATTATTT